CCTAAGGCGCGCATTTCTCAGCATGCACACTTGTGAGGGAACCCTTGGAAGTTGTAAGGGAAGCCAAAAGGAAACCACCAATATTCGGGGGGGGGTTCCAGACTTGGGAGACATTTTTCAGTGGTTGCCAATAAAATTTCCCCCAACAAACCCCCGACTCCTGGTGTCCATCCCGTCTTCGTAGGCTTTGCCCTCCGTTCCGCTTTCAAAGGCTTCTTCCTGCAACCCGTGCAGCCGAAAACCGATCAGCTCGCACTCCTGAAATCTGGCCCTGCCTTTTTCAAGAAAAATGCCTTCGAAATGGGCGAGTTTGGTTCACCCAAGTCAGGTCATGATCATTTGCCTAGAAGAATCTGTTCGAATTTGTCTAATTTAGAGTCAACGGAGTTCTTGCACTCTTGCTCATGTGCATCGGATTAGAAGTAATATGTTCAGGTATGATCGGACAACTAGTTGACCTGGCCTGTGCGTGTTGAAACAATTGTCAGCAGTATCTTTATAATGATATCTATTGCAAGTTTTGCCAATGTGTTTCTCCTTACCAACGTGAGGGTGATGAAATGTCCAATCTGTTGCAAATCCGTACAGTGGTGCATGTCACCATGTCACACGAGCATCGGCTTGACATTGGGGCCACACGAAACAGCGCGTAAGCACCCAAAAGCTCCTGTGCTTTCCCTTTAAAGGGCACCAGGCCTTGTCCTCTTCCGCTTTCTCAGCGGCTGGACAGACACGCGGCAGTTGCTACCTGGTCGCCACAAGCATTGAGATGCCAAAAAGGGTGCCCCAAGGCGGTTCAAACAATGGCCCTAATACAAATGGACATATCCAATTCTTGTACATGGCACATAGGTGTATGTTCGTTAGAGGTTTTTGGCTTGTGTGCTCAAGCATCATTTTGAGACTATCACAAAGCCTGGTACAAATCCGAATGCTCTGGCATCTCAGATCTGACATGCTGGGAGGATTTGTCAGCTCACAAGGCGGAAGGAGGATAAAGAACCTTCAAGGGGATCCTGGATCTTGAACAGCTGCAGGAGATGCTTGATGCTTTGAAGAGCAGTGAGATGAAGTGGGGGGAGCCCTAATTGCCTTGTTTGATATTGGGGGCGCTTGCGGGAAGCGGGCCTTTCACTTGTAGTCTCCTGTACCAACGTTTGAAAACTGCAGTGGGTCATTCCAGCTGCCTGTCTACCACTAGGCTAAGTCCCCTTGCTCACCGTAGAACAAACTGCCCGAACGGCGTGGGAGAGAGAGAGAGAGAGGGAGAGAGAAAGATAGGCTCGGATCGATGGTTTGTCCCTCTCAGGTCCTTAGGGAGTTGTCCTTTTCTCGGAGTTGCCCTTGAAGATGCGCTTTCAGCGTGACATTTTGGCAACAGCCCTGCGGCTACGAGTCTACCTCTCCCTGAGAAGTTCTGTGTGATGGCAGGCCCCCAAGATCACGGCTTGGCCCCAAGGCATGTTTATCTTCCTCGCGATTGATGAAGTCTCCAAGTACCAGCTAGAATTCTTCCAAAGTCTCAGTCTGAGCAGGAGGCTGGATCTGTACCCGCGAGCACAGCAATGGTAGCATCCTTAAAATCAACTCAAAGCATGGGATGCTGACATTTTAGCCCCTCATCGACCCCCCCCCCCGCGGGGCTATCGACAGTGCAGTGAGGCCCTTAAGTTCACTCCCTGCCTGGAATATACACTTGCGAGCAGCCGCTGCAAAACAGCTGCTCTGTGGTCGGGTGCAACGCCACTTTGGCGTCACGAGCCACGTTGCGCAGCCTGGAAAGGGGAAACCCCAGTCAGAAGGAGTGGGTGCACTTTCAATCCCCAGCTAGGTTGGTGAGAATCGCAACGCCAGATCAATGGGCGCCGAATTCAAGGACATAACAACGAAGCCACAGCGAATCGTAAGCGTTCTTCGAGCCTCTGTGTGTGTGTGTGTGCCAGTTTCCTATCTCAGATATATTATGGCGATCATTGAATGCCCCTTTTGCCTGCGGCAAAGCGATCGCGAGACAGGCGGCGCCAACAGCGCATACCTACAGGCGCGGGTTTCTTTGACAACTGCTTCCTGCAAACATTAAATGAAACCAGAACTCTCCCCAAGACAAAGGAAAGTCGTGAGATTCATGCGAACAATACCAACATGCCATCCATCGCAATTCCATGATGCAGTGGCTTGGACCCCATTCCTTTCGTGCCCGGGCACTGAGTGGCTGCTTCACATAGAAAACGAAGAGTACGATCTTGACTCTCGTGGGTGCTAAGCATGGCAATTCTTTGGAAGAGCAATGAACGGCGGTGCTTGAATTGTCTGTGGCTGCTTGACTGAAGTCTTTCCACCATCTTAAACTCACGTCAAGAAGTGCTAAGCGGTATGCAGTGTATGCTTAGTGGTTTCGCTCAGATGTCCGCTTGATTGTGCGTGGCTGCAAAGAAGTGTAAGCAATCCGCTGCCTCTGAATAGTGCTTTGTCGAGGTAGCAACTGAATGTCTCAATGAGAAAGGCAAAACAATGCCCAGGAATGGGGCTCGGGCCTTTTTGCACGCGCCATGAGGCAGCAACATCACAATGCTGCAGCCCCAGTATCTCCTGCAATGCCAATGCCAGCGCGATGAGGTATGTCTAAAGACTACTTGGCAGCTTTGATTCATGACAATGCGTTGCGTAGGCCGTCCCAAAGCAGTTGACACATGTTGCCAAAAGGGACACACCTAAGAACGACAACCCCTCATTCATTATCCAGCAAACATATGACGCCGGATGCACTGAACTCTGACCATCGGCACCCCGTCAAACGCCCCTTCCAAGCTTTGAAAGGTATGATTGACACGCCTTGAGAATGGAAACAACAAACCATTGCAATCTTTCAGACGCAGGCTTGAAGGAATCTCTGCCGTTGGATTCTGTAAGCAATGATCAGGTGTTGGGTCCCAACGCGTGCCTGGGCCTACAACTTGGGTATGAGGGGCATCGTGGAAGAGTATCAGTTCATTTAATTTGACGAGCTGAACTATTGCAATCTCAGCCGGAACAGCCTCCTCTACCTATGATTGTTTGTGCAGTTCTGTGACCCTGGCAGAGATGACATTCCTTGTGGCTTCGGAAGCCCATTGAATCTCTGGGAATCTGGTGGTTCCGTCCGCTCATTCCCGCGACCCTTGATGGAAGCCCCTGCCTGCCCCCGTGAGGCCACATTGGCCCAACATCCAAGCTACATTCTGTTTCAATCTCTGATACAAGACTGTGAACAATCATCGTCATCATCATTCCTATATCATTGTCATTGTCATGTTCATTCTTGGTTGTGTGTCATTTTGTCTTGATTTTTCATCTCAACTGTAATGCTGGCATTGCTGACAGAAGGGATATCATTTCGAAAGCCGCATTGATCAAACTATTTCCCTTGCAAGTCCGCATGGCCCCCTCCATGTGGTTGAAGCAAACAATTGGAAACCTGGCATCAAGGGAAATTGGGAGAGAACAGCGATGTGGGCTTTAAGCAGCCTCGCAACGTGCTACTTTAATTTTGCTTTGGACCAAGATGGACGCCAACACAGCCACACAGGGTTTCGAGGGAGTTGTCACTCTCATCAGAATCTCATGCGAGTCTGTGTGTCATCGGTGTCATGGCCCATTCCGCAATTTCAGAGCAACTTCACCAACATCCTACCGATAATCTCATCCGAATCTCGTGAGAGTGCGCACTTCCCGCCTGGCAGCGGCCGGGAAGGTGACAGCCGCCGCAAGCCGGGCCGAAGACGCCGCGCCAACTGAGACAGGGCTGGATCGCATGTCAAGGAATGTGGGATGGAGTGAGCCCTTTGCTGAGTGAATCTCACAAAACAGCCAGCGCAACAGCAGAAAATGAAGAAGCATGGAGGAAACCATGAACGACACGGCACCAGGTTCATCAGATGACATGAGTGTTCCTTGTACAAGCTGTTCGAAGGGTAGTGGCAGTCCCTGAAGAGTTTGTCTGGGCCTGTTCCGATGGCGGCTCTTTTGAGCTGGCAAATGTCACGCCCCTGTCGTGCAGCACCCAAAGGACAGGCAGGCGATGCAAAAAAAGTCCTCGATTCGCCTGACTTCTGGGCTCTTCGCCAGCGCCACAAAGCTCTGACTGTGGCCAAAGAATCAACGGGGTTTGTCTCAAGAGAGGGGAACCCCCAATGAATTGGGGGAGGAGCTTGGCTTTCCGTTAAAGTTGCCCAAACCAGGGTTCTTTCAGAAAGAGAAAGAACGGGCGTTGCAAACCGGGACAACTCGTTCCGGCGCTCAGCCCAAAAGCACCATGCCAAAGGGTTTGCGAATTCTGCTAAAACCTACCGTGCAAGTCTCAGCGGCGCTTCACCGAATGACAGTGCACAAAGCGTCTGTTCGCTGCAACACCGTAAACGGTTTACGGATGTTGTGTGGAACCGCCAGCTGCTGCCGCCTCGACATCTGCCAGCTAAACCACTGAAGCCGACCACCAGCAAACCAGTGTGGACAAAAGCCACACATGCGGCAAAGACCTGTGTTGACAACTGATGAAGAAGAAGCATCGCTGTCCTTTCCGCTTTGCAGGTGCATGGCAGCAGTGAATTTGTGCAATTAGTGCACCTCAACCATTCCCATGATCTGCTTGATGATCTCACCTTGGCTTCAGTGTGGCTCAAAGCAAATCGCTGAGCTTTACTTTTTGGCCCATTGGCTCCGATAGTTCCTCAAGACATCTTGCGCCAGTTCATGTCAAACTCGGCCTCTCTGCTGAACAGCAACGACATGTTCTGCTACCCAATCTATCGCTGATATGAAACATGTATGGATAGTTTCCTCTTAGATCGTGTGCTCGCAAAGCACCGCCCATCCTCAGAACAATATTGTTCCAAGGCACGATTTTGGCTTTCGTTCGTCTGAGGAGTGAACGTGCAGTCCTGGCGCACGAATGGCGTACACCAAACAAGGAGCGACTGAGATGCCAAGTCAACTCAAAAAAAACAACATTGTCACCAAGTAGCAAGCATTTAAGTGCTGCCCAAAGGCACAAAAAAGGGACACCTGAACTGCGGATGATCAGGGAAAGGCATTTGCCAACTTGGTCTGGTGATGTCCGTTGTGACTGGGGACTTGGATTTGGTCTCAAGCAGCCCAATCGAAACTAATCCGTGCGCAGAATTTGGGTTGTCTTTTATTGAGAGTACCTTCTTCGGGTTTGTATCAAAGGGCAAACAACTGGAAAGAATCCAAGTTCAAGACCCTCATAGGCACAAGTAACTCTGCAAGCCATGATGCATCCTGCATGCGTGAATCCTAATTCAGCCTGAACCGAACGGTTTCTTCGCTCCCTCACATGCAGCCTGAGCCACCCGGTGAAGGGCCTCGTTGAACTCCCGATGGCTCTCCTGCAAAGTCTCGACTGACTCGCGAGCTACACCTCTCGATGAGGTCTTATGAAGATCTATGCTACCTTTGTGGACCCTCAAGGGAGTCTAAAACTCTAAACTGGCCAACCTGGTTTAAAGTATCGGTTTCTCATATCTGGAATGGCGGTGATGGAAGCCTTGTCTGGAATATAATATGCTTATGATTTAACATGTTATAATGTATAATAATATATTGGCATGGGTCTGTCTTCAATACGCGTATCCTCTGTTTGCAATTGACATATGCGGGAGAAAAAAAAGGAAGAAGAAGAAACAAGTCGGAGGATCTGTGCCTCGCACTTCCGGCAGCCGGAGAGCTCAAAGGGCTCTGGGATGGTCACACGCTGGCGCCTTGGGTCGTCAAGCACATCCATTGAGGTTGTCCATCTGGGAAGTGTCGCCGCTCAAACGAGCGAAACCAACCATATCAGCTGCAGCCTCTTGTACGTTCTGAGCCGCCCGCGGCGCGACGCTCTCCGGTCGGAAGATCTTCTGCTCTCGTTCTTTTTGCTCCTGGCTCAAAAAGGCGACTGCAGAGCCACGATCAAAATCTCCAAAATTGCCCCAAGGCATGGGAAGACTAGCGAGACCCGACCATGTCCCTAATAACCGGTAACCATGGACTACTGCAATGTTTGATCGAACCTCATGCCGTCTCACTGGAGTTGCTCGAATGCGGTCTGCAAGAAGACCCGCTAGTTGTGTGTGTGTGTGTAGCTGGTAGCCTGGTAGCAAGTGTTGTTCTTGCATTTGCCAAGATCCACCAGGATGGCAGTCCTGCTGCTTTCTCTGAGCAAGGTTCTTGAGCTCAAAGTAACGGTCCAGGCCTGAGCTGGACTCAACACAAACCAAACGGCGACACGCACACGCACAAACAGTGCATGTGGTACGCATACATGTACATATTATGTAGAGGTACAAGAAAATTTGATGAAACACAAGTCCTCATCCCAGTATCTTTGAGGACGGTATTTTTCCTGTGGCAGCCCAATGCTTTCTTTTGTTTGACTTTTGCTGGCTTTGCGGGACGCGCGTTGCCCCCGTTACAGTGCTGGAAGTATCTGCTATACACAACTGCAAAATATAGCAACATGTCAGCGCAGATCCATCCGCAGCCAATGTGTTGCAGTCCCCACAACTCAACTAAAGCCCAAACTACACCATAGCAAAGCATGTAATTATCCAGCAATGCGAGTACGCCGCAACGTGGTGAAGCCCTTGACACCGGAGCCTCTTACTTTAACAGGGCTTCGCACACAACGCCTAGTCCCTGTTCGCACCATTTTCTCCAAATGCAAAAGCTTACGCTGCCTACAACATCCATCCACATCTGGGCAAGGGACCGCTGACAACAACAGGCTTCTGGATGTCCTCGCAAACACTCTCGCAAATGGCGGGCATGGGACTTTTGTGCTTGACGCTTCTGGCATGCAGCAAATTCAATTCTTTGCCTGCGGCCTACCCAATTTCCCAGAAGAAAAAAAAGCAATGCAATGATAACACATCTTTCACTCGAAGGTCTTGCCAGGCAAGCATTGAACAAGAAGTTGCAAACATCTTTCCACAAAGCTTTGAGCCTTTCGCGAAAAGCCGACAGCAAAATAGTAGCCACGTCTGCACTCAGAACGATTTTGCTATGGCTTGTGATCTAGACCCTGAACGGAAGGGTTACGAAATATCAGGGAGGTTTTCCGCCGAGTTGCCTTGGATTAAAATTAGAATTCTGATTTTGGTAGGTGGGACCGGACTCAAATCTCTTGGACAAACTTCCTTGGTCACTACCAGGGGCAGGTACAAATCCTAGGTGCTCTTGACTCTGCTTGCACCCTGCGTGAGTCCTGAAAAGCCTCGGCAACACGGGGAGCAAAGGTGCAGTCGGCGATCCGCTCCTTTCGCGCCATGGCACAGAAGGAAGCTGACAAACATGGAGCCGCGGCAAGCAGCAGAAACCCGCTTGGTCGAAACTGCCACGGACTGCACCAGTGACTGGGATACTACATTCGACCTTCTGGACGGGCCAGTCAGCCAGTCCTCCTCTAGCTCGCGGCGTCGTTCCAGCAAGTATTCTGCCTTCTTCTCTTGCTCCTCATTTCGCAGCTGCGTGCTTGCCAGCTGCAAATGCATCCTTCAGCCCTCAGGGCTGCTGATAGAAAAGTCCAGTTCCAAATGAACTTCGGCCAACATCCAGCGCCACCTGATGAAAATCTGCATCCGAAACCCAGTCCTGGCGAATGCTCTCCATGAGATCTTGTCGATTGGACTGAGGTGCAGCAAGGGACGCTCAAGCAACCCTCAAGGCGATTGACAAAGGCAACAAGCTGAATGGAGTCTCGATTGCTGGTCAATGAATTACTCATGAACAACCGAAGCCTCACAAACCAGACTACTTGCGACCATGAGGATGGCTATCATGCCTGCGCCATCTCTTCTGAAGGATTTTTGTTTCGGGCTGATGTGGTGCATGTGGGCAAACAAAATACAAGGCAATGGCCTTGCAGTTCCTTAAACTGCTACGGCCGTACTTAGCCGCAGGCATAGCGAGACTTCACGTGGGCATAGCGCTTGCGACTCTGTGGGTCAAGCTGCGGCCTGAAGGGTTGGCCAACAGAGTGGGTGTGAGAATGTGTTGGCATTCTGAGGCGAGCAGCAAACAAAACAAAAAGGCTTCGGCAAGCTTCCGCTGCATGGGTGCTTGCTTTCGCTGCTTCCGAACATGCACAAAGTTGCGTTTTGATGGGCTTGTTGAAGTCAAAGGGGTCGTCGGAGGAATCTTACAGTTTTGCTGCTCGCATTGCGTTTTGCACTACGAACAAGCTTTGCTTATACGTTCCCACTCGCATGAGTGAAAAACACTTTTCTGCGAAAATGAAGTGAAATGCTGCCTGAGGGTAGCTCCTTGTTTGCTATGTGCAAAACAAGCCAAACAGATCAGAGTTTCCGCGGCCTTCCCCGAAAACAAACTTTGCCATGCTCCGCGGAAGCTTCTCTGTGCTCTTCCGCGCTCTGCACAAATCCTTCCGTGGAATCCCATTTGGGCACCCCAAAACTTTTTTCCACAGGAATTTTGATCACCGCTCGTGACATGGACCACTCTGAAAATGCAAACCAAGAAAACGGAGGGCTATTTGTGGCCCACGTGAGAAACGGAAATCCAAATATGCTTTGATTGCAATGAACATGGGATGCCCACACACAAATACCTCTGAGGGATGCCGTTGGAGCCTGCGCCCATCACCAAATCCAGTGTACATGCCATTGGAATCCAGGCAAGGCCTCTTAAGACCTGCAACTTGGAGGGGGAAGGCAAATGTAAAAACCTCGCCTGAAGCTGTACTGGTCAGCGCATGCATCGTCCATGAGCCTGCTCTTGGACACTCCTGACCGATAGAGTCGTTCATGCGGCCCTTCCTCAGATTCTGCGCAAAAAACCGCAACAGGGGCCACTTGCTTGCCAAACACCAAATTCAGCAGATTGCCCCCCACGCACCGCGCAGCACCACGCGCCGCCGCCGCGCGCCGGCACCGCCGCACCGCGCCGCGCCACACGCACGCACGCACGCTACATCTTGTTGCTCCACCAAGTAGCTGTTGGCGACAGCTCGCAAGCCAGCCGCCTTTCAAGAAATTCTGTTATGGATGACTCCATCGGAGACTCCTAAGGCGTTACAGGCCTCAGAGTGCAGTGAACTGCTCGACCCTATGAGAACGAGCTGCTGGATCTCCGCCCAACACTAGCCAGGTAAGTTTGCATTGGCTAGAAAACGAACTGACAGCAAACGCGCATCGAAAAACACTTCTGACAATAATGCCAAGAAGCAAAAAAGAGCGCACCACTGAGAAGCCGCACCAATGAAGGCCAGCATTTTGTTCTCAATTGGAAACTGTGGCAGGTGGGCCCAAGCCCGCGTAAAAATTGCAAGAATGACCTTGACGATCAAACTTGACGGGAATTGGAGTAGTTTTCAACTAGCAAACAGCGCACCTCCGCTAAGCGTCACTGGTAGCGCTATTGCCCCTTCCGCAAGGATGGTCAAGAGGGCGGGCAAACTGATGCTTGAGGCAATGCTTAAAGCATGGTCTGAACTCTAGCGCAAACCTTAACAAGCAAACAGCTGCGCCCACACCAAGCAGCACGCCAGCAGCAAGGTGAAAGACAAGCAGTTACCCCATAGGGAGCGCTGCTGCTGGCCAAGTGCCATGCCAGCGCAACACGTGAAAGCTTCTGAGCAAGCTCAAAAAGACATTTCCCCGACAAAAAATGATGTGACAAGCAAGTCTCCAGTTGGAGACATATCACACTTGATCATAGCCAAAAGGCCGAGAAGGTATGGCTTCTGTATGTGGAGCTCCTGGCACGCAGCCAATTCAACTCTTCGCCTGCAGCCTATTCCCACACTTTCAGAGAAGCTCAACTCGAACGAAGTTGAAGAAAAACAACTGCCAAGCACCCTAAGCGCTTCCCAGCCAGTCCCCTAGGCCAGTACTAGGCGGGCTCTTCTCCGCTTAACTGCGGAGGTCGAAAGAGATCCGGTGCATTCGGAGAGATACAAGCAACACGGACACATTATTGTCATGGTTTTGAAGCATGCCTTTCACAGCAGTCCAGTCAACACAACTGCAGCCTTGTTCATATGTGACAGACTTTGGTGCAAAACCTGCCTGCAGCAAGAAGACACACCGTATGTCGTACTGTCCGGGGCTCCGTGGAATAGTATGTTCTTAAGAGTGTCCAATGCAAGCAACTGTCCGAACGTTCAAACGGAAGCCCGTGTCTGCGTTTTTCTGCAAAGCTTTTGTGGCAGTCAAAACATGCGGTTCTCAGCATGAGCATGGGCAAAGTTGTGAGCCCATGCTCCGTCCGGTTCAATGATATCTTTAGTGAGTCCCAGGCAACATGCTCCTTCCAATCTGACCGTAAGCATATCGTGACCCCCAGGCCCATGCTGCCAAAATGCCTCACTTGCTGAGGCGCTGGATGCCTCTCACACGGCGAACGAGTGGGCCTTCGAACTCATTTAGGTTTGTCTCTAAGTGGAGCACCCAAAATGCGTGGCTTACCAAAGACATGCAGCACCCAGGCTCAACAGCCCTCTAAGAAACACCTTGTCCTCGCAGTTCCTCTGTCTGGGGGTTCAGCCGGATACTTTCACCGCCATCCCCAACTCTAGCTATGCTTGCTGATTGCCCTAGTGGCTCTGATTCTGTCTGACAGACTTATGAGCGAGGCTGTGTCGGTGAGCAAAACAATCTCGGTTTCACATGGTCATTAGAAGTTGGCGCGCGTATGAAGGGCACACGTGCGACAACTTGAGTAACTCAAAACATACGCCATGAGTCCCCATGTCGTGGAAGGTTGCTTACGCGTGGATGATTGTTGTGCTTTCTCCGATGAGAATGCAAGGTGTACTAGTACAGGCCTCTGAAGAGCAGGCTCCTTCAGTTGACCATGGATTCATCAGCAAGGCTGGGTGCATGATCGTTTACATGTGCCACAGTCATAGTCTTGATAGGGCCATGGTTTTGCAAAGGGGAGTCCAGGGTTGCCGGAACTCCTTACCTCTCAAAAGCTCAAATCAGCAGCTGCTTTCACCATGGAATCGGCGTTTGTTCCCTTCCGCCTGGGTTTGAGGGCTCATAATGCCATTTCTTCATGCAAATGGGGCAACTCCGTTTGAAGTCTTGGAAAGAGAGTGGTTGTTCTCAGTGCCACGCTTCCGAGACCCTCTATCCGTAGTGAGGCGGACACTCTCGCAAGCAGAGCGCGCCTCATAGCGAGATGCCGCCAAGACTTGCGACGTCGGGTTGATCTCCGGCTTAAAGGTGCAGTCCTCAGGGTACCGCCCTACTTGCCCGCACAGCCATCTGCACTCGGTTCAGAGATGATGCCCCATCTGTTCTCTTTGTTCTGGTGAGCAGTGGGGGTCTAAAGTGAAAGGCTGACGTTGCCAAGTTACTTTCAAGACCCTCAGAAGTCAAATCATCTGTGCAGCCCACGCACTTCTAGATGTGACATCAGCTAAAACATGCAACAATGAGTGACAATGCCCCCGTATGGTCTCGCAAATGTGTGAGAACCTACCAGTATTGCGAAAAGTGGTCCTATGGGAACAGGGCCGCAAAAGCGTTCTCCTGAGTCCTGACTTGGCGATTCTTGGGCATGAGTGCGGGCGCAAACCCAAACAGGAAATCCAAGAGTGCGATGTTGATCCCGGATGAGCCTTCCTGGCAAACACATTTAGGGGGCGATTCCCATAAGTGAAGAATTTCCACTACAATTAAAACCCCCATCTTACTTCCAGATTTGCATGGAACGCATCCAAAGAAGGCCCCCCTATTTTGGGCACAAGTCTGCCACGCTTTTTTGGAGGGACCGTAACCTCCCCGCCCAGTTTGTTGGGGCCGCTTTATTTTCTTTGGGGGCCGAAAAACTTGGGACAACATAGTCGCCTTTTGGAAAAAATCGATGGCCCTGGTAAATTGAGTAAATCATCTAAACCAGTGCCATCTATATTAAACCAAACCCGCCCAAAAAGGAACTCCTATGGGGAGAGCCAAGTGGCTGTGGGTCAAACATGGGTATCCATTTTGGAACCCTAGTAAATGAAACCAAGGACTAAAGCGTGCGGTTTTGGGTGCTTTAATTTTGACCCATACCCAAGTCTCCTTGTGATGCAGCAACTCCAGCTCCTGTCGCGTCTGCTCCCGCCGCTCTGCGTCGCGGATGGCCAGGCCTGACCCCGCGTTCAGGGAGGAGCAGAGGCGTACATCTGAGGAATTGCGTGTTGTTCTCAAAAAAAAAAAGCTTTGTTGTTTCCCAACCAATGGTGGTCCCCACCCACCCACCCACCCCCCCACCCACCCACCCCAAAATATGGCGTCTTAGAGACTTCATGTGACCTGCGACCATTTGGATTGGGCACGACGAAAGAGCGGCAGATCCTTAATCGCAAAAAAACAGCTTGGTTCAACTGCAAAATGAGCTGTGAAAAGCCCAGTGCTAGGAAAAGCTTCAAATGGAAGCTATTTCCATCCGGCGAACAAGGAGGTGAGACCGTTGTTGACAACAGGCTGTCAGCAATTGCATGAATGTGAGAAACTAACAAGAACGCTCAGAGAGTCAGCACTCAAGTGCCTGCACGATTTGTCATGCTCTTCCTCTTTCGGTCTTGCATGCTGGGCATAAAGTGCGAGACTGCGGAACATGCAAAGAAGCTCAAACCTAGCAAACACCCACTGCACCAAGCCGCGATTGATGCGCTCCTCAGGAGTTTCGCCCAGCATCTCCACGTTGTTGCACACCTTTTGATCATGGATTCAAATGTGCAACACAATGCAACACGCATCTCCATGCACACTAGATTTGGATGGTCCATCCAAATTTCAAATCGTGATTGGCGCTGAGGGGATGCAACCTTGCATCTGGACACAGTGCTGAAATCTCTCGCCTCGCTTGATGCTTCCTCTGGCTGGTTGGCTGGCTGCCGGCCGCTTGCTTACAGCTTCTCGCTTCTTGCTTGCTTCTCGCTTGCGAGGGGCTAACAGGAAGGTTCGGGAAGACTAGATTCCTCTTGGGGGATCTCCCTGTCTTCCATGTGGCCATGGGGCATAACCTATGGCTCCATGTTGGGGTGGATGAACATCCATTTGCCACTCTTTTTCCAAGGGTATTCATTGATTTCAGATCCAAGTCTCCAGTTGTCGGCTGGTCTCTGTGATCTTCGGCTGAAAGGAGCACTCCTTCTCCATGTGCTGCGCACGCACCTGGCCACGTTGGGGTGCAAGAAGTTGGAGGCTCTTCTTGCGGTGGTTTTCAAGGGACAACAAAAACAACCCTGCCCACCCATTTTGAGACATACTCATACCTTTCAAAGCGTTTTTTCTCTCGGTTGTGAAAGCTCTCGAAGCTCCGTCCTCTATCCGCTTCTGCTTGGCCAGCTCAAAGGTCTGCTGGCGAGTGAGGAAGTCCTATCAGCCCGCAAACCCCTCCAATGGCGGATGGACATGAAATACCAGCAGCCTGGTTTTGGCCTAACCCAGCACTAAGCACAACTCAGGTTGCCCATCATTGCAAGGTAGGCAAAAAGACAAGCACGAACCATGCTCCTGCTGCTCACCCTGGAAATAGACGGAGAGCTTGCAAATCTTCCTCACAGCGGTCACTATTTCCGAATAATGATCGGTTTGACGATTCAGGTCAAAATCTCAAGCCAAACCGAGCCTCTCAACATCGGGGATGTCTTTTGGGCTTGTGGAAGAAATCCACATTCGGGGTCCTTCAGCGTATGCGATTTTTACACTGCCCTTGGGGGTGCCCCAAAAATCTGAAAGGCTCACGCAGCAAGCGCTCCTGGATGTGTCATCCATACTGGGAAGGGACTGTGCTTCCGCAGCATGGAAGTCCTGGCTCGGAAGCTGAGGAATGCATGCCAACCCCCTCCCCGAGGCCTTGCCAGTCGCACGGGTTGGGCTCTGTGCTCTCGTCTCCCGAGTGTGAGGAAGTGCCTTTTCTGGGGCCGGTCCCCCACGATCCCCATTGCTCTCCTGTCCCTTCCTTGCAGCAATCAGGCCACCAGGCTCCCCAGCTCTTTATCTTCAATGAGTTCAATAAATATGGCCACAGGCTTCAAGCGATCCATCAGTAATACGACTGCAGGGGCCACCCATAAGCTGTTGCTTGCAATTCCCTGGATTCAACCTACACTTGCGATGCCTGAAGAGCCACTCGGCGCTGCTCTTTCTCCTGCGCCTGGCAGCCATGCTCTGTGTGTCAAACCCTTACCTTCCCCTGTGAAGGGGGCTACGTATTGCTGCTTCTTTGTATCAAGCTGGAGCTTTGAAAACATCCAACCACTTCAACATCCAAATGAATCAATCGCACGCCAATCACAGCAAAGTCGCCTGGCCTGGTTGCGCAACCTCCACTCTGCACACACCTGCACCTACTGTATACAAATTGCGTGTCGCCTCCGCATAGAGGCGTTCCTCCACCGGCCCCAGCTGTTTCAAGCAGTCCACCTGGCCCTGGGAGGCGCACCTGCCGGGAGGGTGCCCCTATCCGTTGAAGGGAAACCAAGGGAAATCGCCCAGTGCGGGGGGTTTTGCGGACTGTGCTGCGGAAGCCTTGATCAAATGCCGCGCTTGGGAGGGAAAGCAGGAAAGCCCGGGAGGCTTGCCAGAAATTGCCCAATTGATGGGAGGCTTGAATCATTGCAACGCTCCCATAAACCTCGGCCCACTTTGCAAGACCTCGCAGAAGGCACTTCAAGCGCCAGGATTCCTGATGTTCCCCCTATATTGCTCCCAAAAGAAACATCTATAATCATGGCCGTCCAAAATGATGTTTAAACTCCCGAAGGGATCTACAGTAACCTCTGTCCAACTCGGCAAGACGCACATCCACACGGGCACCTGTACAGCTGATCGCGCTTCCTCTGAACAAGCCGCTCGCTGCGGCTGGAAATCTTCGGCTGAAAATAATTATCAGCACCTCAGCTTCAAACATCAACTGGGGCCGTTGGGATCTCTGAGGTACAAGTAGGTTTGCGCAACATTGGAATTACAAATGCAAAGACTTGCGGGCAACGACATGCGAAGCTTGCTGAAGTCAGTCCATGGCACGTCTCTCCTCTGCCAGTTGGGCAGAACGTACCTCAATGGCAGTTTGACTTGCAACAGTTTTCAGGGCCTGTCCCAGACTTGCACTTGGACGTGCTTTTTGCGAAGGACTGTGGGACGTCTCTAATGTGGGGTCTGCTATATTAGATCAACCTCAAAGATTCCCATCCAAGCCTCATTCATGGCCAGCGTAGCGGCCTAGCGCCTGTTTGCCGCCTTTTACTACGGCACTGACTCAGGAAGCTCGCAGATGTTTTAAACAAATAGCCTTCCTCCAACATGCAACCTGACTGGAATTCTCTGGAAACCAGTTTTCCTTTGAACAGGGCATTCTGGAAGGTTCCATCCACGGCAGTTAGTGCGACAGGGTTCCCTATACTTCCCCTCAAAATTGGCCCAAACATGATGTTCAAAAACTCCGCCAAAAGCATAGGTGTCCTTTTAGGGGAAATAGATGGCCCTGGTAGATGATTACACCAGGTAAACCAGGAATCGCCCTCGATGTTTCTAGCAAAAACAACTAAAAAGGACACCTATGGCCAAAAGGGTGTTTTACAAAAGAAAACCACGGGAGCCACAATCAAAACCCGGTGCTAAAAATGGTCTACCCAGAACTATGTAAAGAATTTAGAAGGCGGCCGCAACTATTTCTGGCCGGGGCTGCCCCTTACTAACCTTCATCTACCCGGGTTTTGATTGTGGCTCGCGGGAACCAGTTGGGTCCAAAACGGGACACCCCATCTCCGCCACGTTGCCCGCTCCTCGCGCCGCTTCTGCAAGGCCTCTGCCCGCTGGTGCAAGGGCGCCCGGCTGCCTTGGCCTCACGGTCCACGGCGCCACTCCCAGGGGAAAAACGGATATGTAATCTGGTGCGGATTTGTTTCGTTTTTTTTTGGCTGTATAAGCCTTCTCATCAGATCCCCATACATGGCCATGGGTCAACATCGAAATCAAACCCCCAGTGAACATCCGAATCCCCACTAAAATTGGCTCCACAATGGGTGGTGCACAAATCCCCCAAAATGGTACCATTGGTTTTGACCCACAGCCGTATGTAGTCCTCATATTCTTGGTGACACTGTACGTATGTGTACAGGATGTGCTATTTTCCGCTGGGGCAGCGGTTTGGGGGCAGTGAGGAACCCTTTCAATATTCACATGTCAGCCAGGAGAGAAGCTATCATACATTGACGCTCATGTGTGCTGAATTGAGGCCCTCGCAAAAGCCTGCTTTCTGCAGTGTTCCTTTCAAAGGCAAACAAGCTGTGGTTTAACGAGAAGACTGTGAGGGCACTTCACAGTGTCATAATTCTAGAAAACGGTTTGGATGCGCTTTTTGGGGATTTCCTGTTCTTCCCCCTGTAGGTTCCTTTTGATACTCTTTAAGTACTCTTTTAGTATGCTATGGGGGTGGATCCACACAAGCCACATCCGTAGACCAATGACCTGTTTGCTTCTCTCCAGTGCCTGACGCTCCAGTCGGGACTCATCTGGACTAGTATCTCTGAGTTTACCCCGGTTCCCATGCCTTGGCGGCCAGCGTCAGGGCAAACATGGCCGTTTGTGACTGTGATACTCATCATAGCATAGCTCCTACGGTTGTTTCAATTTTGGAGCCCCGGCCACAACATACCTGGCAAATGGCAAAGCATGCACAGGCTGTGAAATTTGCGTTTAGCGTGATGAAACCATCCTGCGGCTCCCTTCGGCTCGCATCTCGCAAAAGCTATCTGAGGCAGCTGCTCTTGCTCTGGTTGATCTGCGGCTGGAAAGTGTAGGAGCACAAAGAATCAGCCTCCATGATCTCCTGCTAGCTTGCATCTGCTATGCTCCGTTGCGACTACATGTGTGACCCTAAACATGTTGAGGGCACCCTTTTTGGGTGTGGTGTAAACGGAAACCAAAAGGACAACTCAAAACCCCCCAATTTGGAGGGGTAGCCTAAAACAAACACCCGTCTGGGCATGATGCAGACCATATGCAAACTTCATCTAAGTCTTCCATCGCAAGTTGCAGCTGGCTGCGCAGCCAGAAAGCTGAAAACCCCTCATCTGCATGTGAGGAATGATGACCAAGGACATACCTGTGTAATGTTTCTCCAAATCCTGAAGGTGAACGCCTAAAGTCAACACAGTTCCCTACTTGCAATTCCGGAAACAACATGATCATCCAGAGCAAACAGGACACTAAAGAACTCATTTCAGGTTCAGGTGCCCTCAATGTCACGCCCCCTTCGCGCATCCTTGGCCTTGTTCCTCAAGTTGGCCCTCTTGTCAGCCTGACAAAGGGGACGAGGATCGGCCTATGTGGCCCCCCATCTTGTCAGCTTTGAAGCTTTGAGCGAGGCGGGGCAATTTGCTTCTGTCAGCCCCACCATTAATTTGGAACTTGTGAGATGGCGAGAAGCTAGGAAGCAGCAGAACATCCCCTGGACACGTCTGTTGTCGAGTTGAGCAGAGCCACAATTGCAAGCAACACATCCAGTTAGCTGGCAAGAAGGCAACCCTGATCCCCCACAGGCCGGACATCCTGAGATGACTACAAGTTGTCCAAAAGTCACTTCACGGCAGTCTTGTCAGATACTATTGAACGCAATCTAACAACATTTGCTACCTTGCCATTCTTAGTCTTGAAGGTCCATTGTGACTAGATGCAAAGCATTTAGCCGGGACAACTTCCCCCCTGCACTTTGGTCTGTGCCAACCGAGAACATGCCTCTTGAGTCTCCCACATATCACCGGCTGTACCAGCTGTTTGGTGAGGCAACCAGGTCAGGGTAGCAAATTAGAGAGAATCCCCCCACAAGACATAGAGGACAAACACACAGCAGCACAAGGAGGCACTGCCTGCTTGGCACTGTGTTCGAACTTCCGATTTCTCCCATTGGTCCCCGGAATTTGTAGATGCTTCTTTCCGATTTGGTGTTCTGGAGGCAATGAAGCAGTCTCTTGCGGCCGCTCGCCTTCGATTACCTGAGTCGCGATTGGAAGTAGATCAGGCTAGTACGTTCAGGCTGGAATCTGCCATTTCCAGACTTGTTCAGATTAGATCCGTAGTTCTGATTCTAAAACGCCGCCTTGGTTGCCCACCCGCCGCCCAGGGAACTCGCTACAAGCCGACACTCAGACCCAACTCCAACGAACCCATCCCTTTGGCTTTGACTTGCGAATCTGAACTGGGTGCGACTTTTTTTCATCGGGGATGCTTTTTCTGGGACATCGTTCAGGTGGGGATTCATGCCCACCAACCACTTTTGAGGTGGTTCCCTATTCAAAGTCATAGCCAACAGGAAATCCGAAGGCTTCCACTTCCGCCTCGTGGAAGAGGCGCTCAGGCAGCGGCTCCGCCACGCATCCCCGGGACCGCCGCGCGTAGAACCTTACGGGAGTGGGCTACCCAGGCCGGTTTCAATAGGGAAGGGTCACCCGCGAGACTTACTGGCCCTCGATGTTAGTCATGGGGTGAAACAAACACACACACACACACACACACACACACACACACACACACACACACACACACACACACACACACACACACACACACACACACACACACACACACACACACACACACACACACACACACACACACACACACACACACACACACACACACACACACACACACACACACACACACACACACACACACACACACACACACACACACACACACACACACACACACACACACACACACACACACACACACACACACACACACACACACACACACACACACACACACACACACACACACACACACACACACACACACACACACACACACACACACACACACACACACACACACACACACACACACACACACACACACACACACACACACACACACACACACACACACACACACACACACACACACACACGACAAATGAAACCCTGCCTGGCCTTGGACAAAAAGGCACTGGAAATCCGTGTGTGTGTGTGTGTGCGTGTGTCGGCTCGCTGCAATCTGAAAGATCCTCGCTGCATGCGGTCAGTTTTTAAGGATATTTGAGCCCACGTGTCTCCCTGGAAGCAATGCGTTCGCTTCTCTGCTTCGTAGCTGTTATCAGTGAAAGGCAATTCCATGGTGCTAACAAACAGTTCATCATCGCTGTTGTCACACAAACACACACACACAAACACACATGCATTGCCCACCCCTTGCCTGCTCAGTCTTTCACTTCACCATTGTTTCAAAAGAAGCGGTGGTTTTCCTTTAGTTTCTCTATAAGCCAGCCACCTGCAAAAACATACGCACACTCACAAATATCATGTTCAGCAGCGGACACAATCTGAAGCCGACAAAAGAAACTATCACAAAGTGAAGCCAACCAACAGTTGCCATTGCTGAAGAATGAACAAAAGCCGCTTCAGCTTAAAAAACTGTCACCTGGGTTAGTGCATGCCTCTCTTTTGCACATACCTGCATGCTTTCACATTGATGTTTGGCTTCATCCGAGGAAACACATCAAGCAGCGTTGTTTCGACACTACATTCCTATTGGCCATCCGATGCTCAGAAACCGCACTCAAGCGCTCGAGCAATCGGATGCTTTCGCCATGGTGCTCCGAGCGGGTGTTGATGGAGGGCCTGGGATGTCGCACGGCCCGTTGAGAGCGGGCGGTTGATTTTGCAAACAGAAAGCGGTTGCCAGCATTTTGACAGCCCTGGAAGAGGACGATGATGTAGCGGGCCTTACCTTATCTACATTTTCGGCCTGAGTGGCTTGGGGGCATGCAGCCATCGACCCTCGTTGGATTCGCAGAGCGAGAAGTTCACGGAACAGGGGGGCGCGTGTACCTCAAGGCCACTAAGGAATCCTCCTCCCCACGACTAAGTGTCAGTCGTGGCAATCGAACATGTAGGGACGTGTTTGTCTTACTAGGTGACCCTCTCAGGCGTTGCAGCATGCTCTGTTAGCTGCTCAAACCTAGGATGTCTTGGCTTCGAAACTTATCCAACCAACCCCAAAGTGATTCGACCTGCAGCACGTACCTTCTTGTCATCTCAAACCACAGGTATAATACAGTATTAAGCACCAGTGCGGCGCAGTGCAGCACACATTGTCTCCAACCACCTACCCCCGCACGGTCCCTGACAAGCGGCTGAAAGGTACATTCTCCAAGCTCTTCCATCTCCTTCTCCTGCTTGGCCTGCATGTACTTCTGCTTGGACGCCTTGCATCTTGCTACGCCACTCTTGGTCGTGTCGCCTCCCTGCGGTAGTCAGCATGCGTCCAATCGAGGATCTTGCAGGGTCGAGAAGGGCATCACATACACACTGGCTGATACTGGCTGTTGGCTGCACAAAGCGGTTGGCTGCGCGTTGTGTCTGTGACTCTCAATGTCGCGCGCAAACCAAGTGTCGCCTGACAAAACAAGTGGCAAGTCTTCAGCCAAGAGTATCACGCGAAGCAAAAACAAGCCACAATGAGGCCAGAGCGCTTATCCCTGTGTCGCTCTTCCTTGAAATTGCATTGCTGGATGTTCTTTCCTGTCTCATGGGCAATCATGGGCCAAGGGAACCTTCGCCCTGCAAATTCAGTGGGCACTAATTAGGATGGATTGGACTCGCCCAGGGCAAAAACAGGCGGCGTAACATGGATCCCTAGAAACGAAGGAGACAAAATACCCATATAACCCACTACCCTCAGACTGACATTGGTGGGAGCAAGTAGCTTAGGGGCTTTCCCGACCATTCCCCCCACACCTTTCCTCCCCCGTCCTGGTGCTGCAGTTGCCACTTTTGCACCCTTTGCTCGAATGCCCTTGGCTCATTGACTCAATACAACTCACTAAGGCCGGGGCAACACTACCAGCTCACTGGCGCAAACCTTCATATTCCCAATCGCGAGATTGATAAGACTGTCCAAAAGTCATCGACGTTTCCAGCATTACTTCACGCATTGGTTGGTGGTAGCGATAGTGGCGTTATGCTCCTTCAGAAAGTGGTGGATTCTCCTGCTCTCAACCATCAACCAACATAAGAGTAACACACATTCCTTCTACCTCCTGGCAAACACACAATCCAACCAAGATTCGGCATGAACTAGGCTTCCTAAAATGTATCCGGCTTAGGAAGCAAATGAAATGCTTTAACAGCATCAGTCAGCCACTAACCAGCACCAAGCCACGCACAGGAAATAAATGCCAAGGCGCTGCCGGTCCTTAACCGAACTCTGCCGTCTGTGCTCCGTGCTTTCCGCCTTCGCCGGCTTCCTTAGTCGTGGAATGTCCACTCCCGCTTCTTGCACACTTTGGAAAGGTCAAAGATGGTCAAAGCCGGAGTTCGCCTCGAAAGCCGCAAGTCAAACATCAAATGTCCAAGAAACTTAGCAGCCACGAGTCGCACTGCTGGCTCTTCCACTTGCCGGCTTTGCCTGCAGCTAAGCAAATACAGGTGCATACATGGCCATTCTCATCTTGCGAGTGCCACCATACCACATAATTTGAGATTTTATGCTGGAAAGTGGACTCTTCTCTGCACCCCCACCCGTGCACGTCCGATTCACGCAACATAGAAAGTCTGCTCTACCTTGGAGCCATGCCCGCTGCATGCCTTCCAAGATCAGGCAACCTCGCTAATAATTTCTCTGGATGTCCGCTGCCTACGAAGGCATCATTCGGGGACATGGGCTTGTCTCGCACCCGGGGAATCCAAAGAAATGGTTGCTGTGTAGTCGCTTTCCGTGTTCAAAACCAAAAGGGTTCCCCCGGAAGAACACACAACGCATCTGGCCTTGGAGGGCGCCGACTGAGGCCGCCTGGGGCACGAAGCATGGTTTGAACCGCATTGGGAGGCTTGGAGGAATACCAAGCTCAGGCCTTTGTGTTAATGACGACAGCCATCTCTGGGCTTTTGTAGGGCTAAGGGAGCTACACCTCGGCTCATAACCATCACAAGTTTAATCCTTGTTGAAGCTGGAGTGATCACTCGTCCAAAAGGACTCGGAAACAGAAAGGTCAATCTTTGAGGGACATCACTTGTTGTACCCCAGGTAGACCAAATCTGGGAAACCAACAAGATAACCTTGGACCACCGAGCACCGGAGCTTGCACAATCTGGTTTCAACCGAACCAATAGGACACCAACCATTTGGAGGGGTCCCAACTATGACCTGCACCATCCCTCCGGGGTTTGGTTTTGGCTTATAATTCCCTGGATCTTCCCAGCCTGGCAGTCTTGCTTTCCAGGTCCGCAACAAGAAACGGGCTGGCACCTGGGACAATGTGAGGCATTGAAGCCAATCTGGTCAATCAGACAACGCGCGGGAGGCATCTGATCCGTTCCGAATCGAACGGAGCGACTTTTGTTGCGCCGAAGGCACCGAGCTCAGCAGGAAGCTCCATTTCTGCCTTCTCGGCGGCTGTCAAGCGCGCTAGAACGCTCTTCAGAAAGCCATCCTCGGGCGGACCCAAACACACCCACCCCACCCACCCACCCACCCACCCCACCCCACCCCGCCCCGCCCCGCCCCGCCCCGCCCCGCCGCGCCCCGCCCTGCCCCACCCCACCCCACACCCAGCCACCCACACCCCACCCACCCCACACACCCACGACGCACACGACGCACACCCACACACTTGTCCCACTAGTGTTCCCATTCTTGTCAAAGCCACCTTTTGGGTTTTTGCTCTATCTCTGAGAAGAATAAAGGACCCCATCTTTCTTCCTCGGGAATTGCAGCTCACTATTTGGGGGATCCACGTGAGTTGGGACGATCCGACCCTGTTTATACACGCGGCATCCTTCGGCTCCGAGTCGTGCAGGCCGCTTGGCGTCCACGGCTCCGCGATCCCGCCGGGACTGCAGCGTTCAGCAGTGACCCAGCTCTGAACACGAGCCAATCTTAACCAATCTGAGGCTACAGAAAACAAAGCCTCTGCAAGACCAAGTTGAACAGACTGATGCAACGTAAGCCAAAAGCAGACCAGCCATGTCAGCTGGTTGGATCGGCTCCAAGGACCCAAGACTGGCCTGTGGCTTCCCCGCAAGCTGCGCGGCTCCTCATCTTGCAGACCTCACAGCTGGCTCTGGACATTGTCCTTTGCAAATCCCTGTGTCTTTGTGCACGAAACTGTGCTCATTTCCAAGCAAACGCAGTCACGCTCACTTGACTAGCCAAGTGCACAAATGCTCCGAATCACAAAGGCCTTCTCAGCTCTTGTTGACATCTGGTTTGTGCCAAAATAGGGAGCCTGCAAAATGGGTGTTTGTCCTTTTGGTGGTCCCTTTAAACAAGACCAAACACGGTGCAAGTGCCAAAAAAGAAAAAAACACACCCATGGTCAATGCGCAATGCGGCTCCTCCCGGCTCAATCAAGCGGCCGGCCTGCTGCCAGCTTCTGTTGCAGCCGCGTCCGGCGCTCTTCTAAGAGTTGCTGCACCAAAAGATCTCCTCAGCGCATGGCCATGGGTGAAAATCCAAATCGTACCCCCAGTGAACATCCCAATCTAACCACTCAAATAGGCTCAAAAATGGGTGGTGAATTCACAAATCCCCTAGAATGGGATCCCATTGGTTTTGACCAGCCGCATGGGGTCAGGGGCCACTGGCACAGGGGACATCTGAGAGCCCTCAGTCTCTTACTGAGGGCTATGAAATGAAACACAGCGATCAAAAAGGGTCGTTGGCATGCAGCAGAATGGCATATGCCGAAACATGTGGTTTTGTCTCTAAATTGGTGGTGTCCTGTTGGTTTCTGTTTACAACCACACCAAAAGGGGTTCGGTCAGACAAATACATTTACCGCCAGCAAAGCACCAATTCGCCAAGCGTCTTCGCGAGGTATTGGCCTCACTGGCAGTCATCGCAGCATAAGGCTGGGTGCAGGTAGCCACGCACCCAGGCCGCGTGCCAGTGTGGGGCCGTGCCAAGTGCGCAAAACGTGGTTTCTATGAGACACATTTCGTTCAACCAATTTATCAACATGTCGACGGATTGGGCTCGACTTGAGGCAGGTGAGGGGTGCTGTGCGGCTCTCAAGTCCAATTGCTTGCACTAACACACATAGGAAGCTTGAGCACAAGCACAGGCCAGGCAAATGAGTCTACTCCAAGAGACTGGAGTCTTGATTTCAACGCAACATGCACAGCTTTGACACCTACCAGCCAGAATCAACCCCCCAAAACGCTGCAACAAATGTTCACATCGCCTCCGGCACAAACAGACTGGCGTCCGGAGCCTGACGATGCCTCAACAGCAAAGACACACTTACAACTAGACTTGCAAGCGCATTGTCTGTTCACTCATACAATCCGCGTTCTTACACAAAAGAGCCAGGCATAAAAGGTGAGGGACAATCCAGTGCCTTCCAGAAATATTGTGAAGCGGGTTTTGTATTCCAATACATCTGATCAACCAAGCAAGGTCCGGTCGAAGCAACTCGTAAAAGCCCTGGTTCAGGGTGGTCCTTGTGCCACCTTCTTTGGGGCAAGCTGGACATACCTCCAAAAGAAACTCTACATTTGTCTAAGTGCCAAGCAACTTGCCAAATAGCTCGTCTACAAAAGACTTGGCTTAAACTGTCACACAAAAATGACGACCCTAAGGACTATCAAACACGTACAGCAGGGTACCTCTACACCAAACCTGCCGTGCCTGCTGTACTGGAGGCGGCTTCGTGGCTGACTCGGGCACGTCGCGGACGTAGCACACCTGTGCCAGAGAGCCGTTACTGCAGTGGATCACAAACAATCACCCGAGTCACAATCAAAGCCTGGTATTAACATGGTCGTAATCCCAGAACCATGTAAAGAATCAAGAAGGCGGCCGCAGCTATTTATGGTTGGGATTGTCCCTTACTAACCTTCATCTACCCGGGTTTTGATTGTGGCTCACCTGAAAGGGACCCCCCAAGACCCAAGAAAGGAACCTTCATCCGTGTGGTCAAACACCTTCCTTGTGAGGTCAATTCGCATGTGTCTGAATTTGCGCATGCGCCACAAGCCTGTGCACTGACAGTTGCCGTACCACAAATCGAACCAGTTGGCGCCCTTTCTCACCGCTGAATCCCATGAATGGGCAAAGGCATTGCCAGGGTGGGGCCATCCCCTTCAAGCATCAGACTGAGACAGGGTTCAAATACCCTCCCTCTTTTGAACCGCCAGTTCTGACCATGCGAACTAACATGCTGACTATGACTCGGAAAGAACAGTGCTCAGCTCCCTTGCAAAGGCCGGCAGCAGCAAACCCGCAATCCACGTCCCGCCAAGAGAGCCCATGCGTATGGGCGCGCCTTTCCAGCTTTGTCCACCTGGTAGTAGGTGATGCCACGGATGCCCCGAGGCTGCCCCGCAATGTCGATATGATAGGTGAAGCCAACCGCCTAAGGAATGCGCTCATTGCTTGCGGCCCCCGTCCTTCAGGCCAGTGAAAGCAAAGGCCTAAATCATCTCGGAGCTGAACTCAACAAGTTGACTTGCCTGCTCTGCTTGGAGGTTTGAGAATGAACTGGTTTCACCCAACTGCAAGCTGAGCGGCTGTTGAAAGTTGTTCAGATCTGATCTACCGGAATGCAAGCAAACGGGTTTGCCTCAAGAAATGTGCGACCCAGAAAAAAACAACACTCTTGTTACACGGACAGAGCAATTTCTGAAGCATTGCCTGCCCTCTTTGGTGGTTGGCTTTCCTTTGGTATCTTGCGTAATTCAGCAGAACGTATCTAACACATCACATAATTGACAAACTGTCGACAGTGTCGCAACCAACTATTGCATGGAAACCAGCAACGATTGCTATTCCATTCAGAAACAAGGGAACTCCTTTCATCTCTTTGCAAAGGATCAGAGCCGCCAAAGGCCAGTTTCCTGGTCTGCAGACGAGCTTTCCGGCCCCATCCGGCCTTCTCGCCATCCGAGACCTCCTCAAGCACGAAAGTGACACCCTGGATGGCCTGGAATCTGGCCAGGAAGCCGTCCACCGCCGGCTTGCCAACCTGACAATGGAACCAGGCGGTCGCTTCCTTTTAGTCCACCCAGAAGTGAATGGATTCAACAATCCCTAGCCAGTGCTTGAAAAACAGCGTCCAGAGTTTCTCGTTGGTCATCAATCTTCCAGCCTGCACGCACAACACACATCCTACAAGTGTACCTGATATTTGGCAAACCCGGTGGGAAGATGCGCACCCTGAATCGTTGCGGAAAATGTTGGTCGACTGTTTCAAACTGCAAAGCCAACACTACATTTGAGTGTCCCTTGTCCCTTGCCAGGTGAGCCACAAATGGCGTCTCGTAGTTCATGTCTTCGTAGACCACGTCGTCCGCAAAGAAGCGCACTGCGTCGCCTCCTGCCTGCTGCACATCTCCGTAAAGGTATCTTACAATACCTCCCGCAGTGCGGGGTGTTTGCGGCGGGCCTTTGAGAACAGGTCGTTCTGGCGGCGGCTGATCCTTGGTCAGCGCCTCCAGTGTCCGGACTTGTTTCACAAGCGAAACCAACTATGAACCAAGGAAAACCACTTGTTCACCAAACAAACACGAACAAACCTCTGAACCTCCCAGCATTTGTTGTTCCCCTCCAAACACACCCATTTAGCTTCGCGGACATGGATTTCCCATGTTTGAAGGGTCCCTCTATACAAATGATGCCTAAATAATTTAGGCATCATTTATAAATATATAAAGAGACCAATGGAAACATGGGAAACTCATGTCCAGCACCCACCGACTTCGGTGGCTTCGCGCCTCCAACAGCTTCTCCGTGAGCTCCCCCGCCTTGAAGAGGGGCTCCCCCACCTCCCGCACATAGGCCACCTACTTTGCTTCGGGGCCCACCGCACGGATCTCACATAGGATTGACGTGGGATAAACTGCTGTGGGTGGTTTCACTTTTGCTTTTGTTTTTAGGCAATCCCAACAAACGGTGCCATGAAGAAAAACATATGTATAGGATATTTATTATACATAAATATATATATTGTATTTACATGTACATATTTGCCGAAACAGGTCAAATCTTTGCATCGCAAGTGATCGCCTCTCCTCGCTCGTTCAGGCGCAGGAAGCACAGGCCCCGCTGTCCGAGGTCATTGCCCTCCTGGATGTGCCAGGTGAATCCACAGGAGTTGCGCCCGTCCTCAATGCAAAGCATGCGAACACATAGCCTCCCAACAAACATGGAAGTGGACAGGGGGCTTCCCCAAACTGACAGTCTTCCAAAACCCTCCTGTCAGCTTCCATGATTGTTGGAAGGAGGGTAGAATGGGTCAACTCCCTCCAAATGTTTTGCTTCGTCTGGACTTTTCAAAGACCATTCCCCAATCCCTAGCTTGATGTCAAAGGACAATCAAAGGGCAACCTGCCAGAGTTGAAAGAACACATTACTTCAAGCAGCCAACATGCCCACTGAAGGCCTTTTTGAGTTGGCGTTCCTTTGATCTCCTTTTTAAAGGCACCAAACCTTTTGCTTGGCACCAAACAGAAGAAGCCAATTTCTCATTTGGTTTCCCTCCAACAGCTACCAGCTTGTGGCACAAGTCAAGGAAATCGGCCCTTCAATCTCCAGGCAGTGGCCTACAGCGAAAGCTGCACTGCATCTGGCACAGGAGGGACCCCCAAAATCGTACCCTCAACACACACACACACACCCACACCCACACCCACACCCACACCCACACCCACACCCACACCCACACCCAGACCCAGACCCAGACCCAGACCCAGACCCAGACCCAGACCCAGACCCAGACCCACACCCACACCCACACCCACACCCACACCCACACCCACACCCACACACACACACACACCCACACCCCAATGCGGCGAGTGGTTTGGAGAAAACCCTCATGAAACCGGGGCCCTTATTCTGACCAATATGTGTATGTCCTTCAGACTTATCTGAAACGGGTACCCTCAAAGATCAAATTCGCATTCAAACACTTGCTGCCCGGGTTCAGACACATGATCCAGCACCAGGCGGGAGTTTTTCGGAAGCGCCTTCTGCCGCAGAATCGCCAAAATCTCGCCTCGGCCTGTCGCCGCCTCGGGGAAGTACAGGTCCTCATAGACCTGAAACAGAGAGCCTGGGACCAGCTGCATGACTTGAGATGTAATTACTGATCACTGATAATGAAATCACAGTTGGCATGCAACTGTGGCTCGAAATTCTATAAGATTGATAATCGCACTTGGCAAATGAGCATGTGGCCACATCTCTCCCAAATGTTCAGCCAAAGTCATATTGTGAACGCAAGCCTTCTAGCCTGCGTATTACAGCATCATTTAGAACTAAGAACTGGTCCCTGTTCAAAGCACTGGCTTCTTGAACCAAATTGAATTATTTGAAGGCAATCTGAGCAATCTCCACAAGCTGATGTGCGATGCGAGGAGAATTTGGACTATGGTTCTGATGTCGCTGGCACTTTGCATAACATGGGACTTGGTGCATGGCATATGGCAGCAGTGCGATGACCATTCCAATCTGTGAATGCTGGTTTGGACTTGTCTATGTACTGGCCTTACGTACAGCACGCCAGGTCATTTTGTAAACTATCCGACGACAAGTCTTCCATCGTCGGCCAGGCTGCGGTCAAAAGGACCCCGCACGAGGCAACCACAGTCCAACCCAAAGGGCGAAATTGGAGCAGGGTGCCTTCGCAGTGCACTGTCTACCCAACTAAAACATGGCGCCTCCGGGAGGGCGCCTGGATTGGTTTCCTGGGATGTCTGGTGCCTTCTGTTGGGGTAAGCCTTCTGAAATGACCATCCCCTTTGGCATGGCCAAGGCGCACAGTCCTCCGCCAGGGTTGCCGCCCACTTCTCCCAGTCCTCACTGCCCCAAAGAGCGCGCACCACTGCGGGCGCTGTGAGGGACGCACCTGGCGGGACCGGCCCGGGGGGGGGGGCATGCGTTTCAGGGGGTTAACCTTGTCAGGTCACACCTTGAGGGGCTGCAAGTTGCGAAGGGCAGTGCTTCAGTTCTTTTGTTGCCGAAATAGAGGAGCAAGTTAAGTAGCGATGGCACGGTTCTTATGCAACCACTCACGCAATGGTATTGATTTAAATACCGGTAGACTTGTGGTATTGATGGACACAGCACAAAGAAATCAACCTGCCGCCCAGTGCCTGACATCTTGCACAATGTACAGACCACAGCCAACCAATCAAATAAAAGTGTCAGACTGTCAATCCGAACCTCAACTTGCAAGGGCAATATGGGCCCAGGACAACGTCGCATGAAAGGAGAGAGGTCCTTGAATTTGACTCCTGAGTTAGCCAGGGAAGAAACAGCTCCGCGGATTGAACAAACAAAATACAATATGATGAAGGTGGCGCTTGTGGATCCTTCGCATGCACCTTGCCACACTCTGCCCTGGCAAGCTGAAGCTATCTAGATAGGCAGGCTTCTACTGAATAGGATCTGACAAAAGCTTGCGTGCATCAAACGTTCCAAAAAGCCCTGGGCATTTCAAAGGCCATTGGTATTTGGAGATCGCGCCTGCCGCAGGTAAGGCGAAACACAGCGGCGCACCGGCGGAGTTCACCAGCTCACGGCGCCCAAAGGCGCGCCGCGCGGTGCACGCAACGGCACAGCCAGCCGCCAACAGCCACGTGGGAGCGGATCCCACAAAGCGGTGAGCGCTCGAAAGTCTCGGCCCGCGAAACGCCCGAAGTGCAAAACCACTTTGGGTCTTGCTGGGAATAATAGTAGCTGTGCTTAACGCCATTGCTGGAAACGCGGCGCAACTGCCTTGTCTTGAGTATTGGAGTTGTTTACAGCCACTTGATCGTACAACGTGGACACGCTGATTAAGCAACATAATTTATCATGAGCACGCACACTGGCTCGTGCCTCTCTCTCATGTTTTGTACCATGTCAGAATGGTAGTTGGTTTTGGTGGCTCAAGTTGCTCACGAGCAGCTCCGGCACATACTGCACATTACATGCGCGCAAAACGTGGCTCAGCAAGTTCCTCTCCAGTCATCACAGGATCCTGTATCATACACTGACGTCTAACCTCTATCATCCGAAGCCTTGAAGAAAGAATACGCAAGTCAATTCGCTGACGCTCGTCGGGCGTATAGATGGTGAGGGCTTTCTAGGGTCCAGAATGGATGTCTTGACCAAAGTCGAAGAAGCTGTCGGAGCCTGCATTGGCGGCTCAACATCTGGTCCTTGCAACACCTGCATGTTGCAAAACATGAATTTTCTCTAAGCTCCCGGTTAGGATTGCCTCATCAGGGCAGGTGTTACTTCCCCGGCATCATCGAGGTGGGCTAGAGTCTGCAGAGCTGGCATTTGCTCAGCAGGGATCCTTACATTATACACCTGAACATTGCTTGTAAATGGTGGTTTCCCTTTATTTTGGAGAAAGCCATGTTTCAAATGGGCAAAATGTATCTTTTAAGGAGCCCTGCTCAGTTTTGGCTGATTCAGCTGGTGGTGGGAAGTTTGGGCCTGTCGAGCCATGTTGGGCTCTATGACCCATGAGGTGCTGGATCTGATACGCACTCGGACTCTCCACGGCTCGCACGGGGTTGCTGAACCAATCCGTAGCATCTTGCTTTGGAAACTTGGCGGAACCTTGTTTGGAATGCGTGTCTGTGTGTTGGTTTGTTTCGGGCAATGAACAACAGGATGTTTTGAGATGCGGCCCTCTCATTGATGCTGGTTTGATAACTTGGCTGGCTCCGGGTGCTTCCATGATAGTCTCACTAGAACTATACCGGACAAACAACTGACAACAAAAACAACGCGTTGTCAATCAAATGATTGTAGGCACTATGTGGCACGCCACAAAGCATCTGTGGCTGGTGCAGCAAGCATAGTTGGGTTTACAATGTACACGATGCTTCATCACAACACTGGGCAAAGTCAACATTCCGCATGGCTCCGTCCGCATGGTGATGCCGACAACAAACTTAACACCGCATACAACATCTGAGCAACAGGATGGGATTGTAGACGCAGGCAAGCTTTTCCAAACATGTCGGACTGAGCCAACCGGTTGCCTTTATCCGAAAACCGTATCCCATACCCAGTTTCCACTGATCCCCAAATGTCCCTTTTGAGTCCCACCAGAAAGGGCCTGAAGATTGGTCGAAATCCCACTCATCCATCCTGCCATACACCCAACTATGCTCCGTGCGAAGCACCGCAAACGCGTGGCATACACTATATGGCGAGAGTCAAAGAAAAGAGTCTTTTCGCCCTTTGCTCAGGTTTCTTTCCACCAGTGCAACATTCGCCGCAAGAGCAGGGGGGTCTCAAGTGCTTACTAAGCCGGCTAGAGACTTCACACGCACACAAACACAAACACGGCTCTTGCCTTTTCAACCCCGGGTTCACCTAAGCACCAGGTACTGATCCCGGGTTCACCTAAAACACCAGGTACAGATCGGGAAAGGCAAACAGGTAATGATTGCGTTAATTCCCGCGTTCAAAGCTTGAGAAAATGACGCCGATTGCCACGCCCGCTCCATTTTGCCTCACATCACCGTCCGGCGCCGGCGCTTCGCCACCCCGGGGCTCACTGAGTCGTGGGCAAAGGGCAACGACTCGGAGGGTGCCTCAGCAAAGCTCACAGCCAAGTGATGTTAGCAATCGAGGCTCCGGGTTCATTGAGGGTGTGGGGTAATTGCGGGTGCCTTTGGGGAAAAAAAAGGTCCCCATTCAATAGAGATTTTAGTATCCCTGGCTCCTTGGCACCCCCAAGATCCATGGCCACATGCGTCGGACCAGACGTGAAGCACGCGACAGGTGCTTCACCAGGCGTGCCGTGCCTTCCTATCAAAACGGTGGAGGTTGGGAAACAAGACCCAAAAGGCAAATCTAATATTCATGCATATGTACGCGCTCCTTGGTTTGCCAAACCATCAAACACCAAACGGCACTCCTCAGACTGGCGCCCGCTCGGGCTGATCCGCACCCTTGTCAGAGCGCCTGCGTTTAGGCACCACCTGCGAGACGTGGGCAGAGTCACAATCCGTATTTGCCACTGGAAGTCTACCCAAAACCATGTAAAGAACCAAAAGTGTTGTTTGAGACATGTTGGGACGGTCCCTACCCTTGACTTACCCAGGCTCTGATTGGCCCTGCAGTTGCGCCGCAACCACAAACCTGTCGCTAAAGAAGTAAACTTAAACTGACATGCGAAAATCCGAGCAGCAGGCACCAGAGCTCAAGGCCGCTTGCATCTGCGAGATTGTACGTCGCGCTTTTGCATTTAAAAGTTGTGATGTTCAAGCCGGAGCTGCAAACAGGCGCTTTGCAAATTCGCACGGACCCACAGTGAGAGCTCTTCGACACGCTTCAGCGCCTTGCAAATTAGCACGGCGCCACAGCGAGAGCGCCTCGACACGCATAATCCCTTTAGAGAGTTCATCGAGCGCTTTGTACATTCGCATGGTGACTGACGCCAGAGCCAGAGCTACAGTGCCACAGCGAGGGTGCATCAACCCGCTTCTGCGGCCACATGTTTTCTTACACGGAAACATGCTGCAGGAACGGGTCTAAAAACTTCACTTGAGGGTGTTCGGCGCTGCTCATTCCACACATTGCAAAGGTTGGTTGCTAGTTGTCAAGTGTCTTTGCTTGGGCTGATTTGGCAGTTTTGCTGGTCCTGCGTGCGTTGTTGCATGATGGGGCACCTTCCGAATGCCAATTTGTCTGGCGCCAAAAAGAACCAACCGTCTGAAGGTATCCCTGGTTCTGACACAACTTAGGAAACTCACATAAACCAACCGCTTGCTGTTCCTGATACTTGGTGTAAACCACGATTGCGGTCTTCAGACTCCAGCCACTCCACCCATGCAGCCCACCCTCTGGGCGTTGTGATCTCAGGGCGGTGGACCAGGGCTTCAGCTGCGGATTTCGCTTGCCCCAAGGCCCAGCCTGCAGCAGCCCATCGCGAGCCCGAACCATTGTGGAGATGGTCTGCGACTCGGACGCCTGGACGGCACTGAGCACTGTGCGATTCAGCTGAACAAGCGTCCTGGATCAACGTTTACGTTTACATGAAGGCTGCTTTCTCTGCTGACGCGCGACATGATCACTCATGGGTCAATACTTGCCGCATGCGTTGAGTACAGTCTCCAGCCTCAACCTGCTTGTCTATCATCTTCGGAAGCTTCTGGCCACGTTTCAGGAGTCCGCGCTTCCAAAGGAAGCCTCATTTATCCAATCCAGCCAATGAAATGTGTATCATTTCACTCTTTCTCTCTCTCTCCTCCCCTTGCTTCCAAGCAGCGCATTTCTTTGATGGCTTTCATGCGCCGGTCCAGCCGTTTCATGGCAGCCTTGGTCTCCTGACAGGTCCGCCCAGCGACGCATGTTCAACAAGGCCAACAGCACTCAAAGGAAATATCTGTCAGCACATTGAGAAATTGTGACGCATTCCTGTCCTTCGACCCAATATTCCGCGCAGGCGGCAGGCCCAGTCTCTTCTTCAACTTCTGCTTGGCGCTTTTGTTGATGGGCTGCTGGATCACTTTCTGGAAGTTCCTCAAGTGATCAGTGCAATCCCATTGCGTGGCTTTGGCCGATATTCGTTCGGATCACGAGTCAAGCACTGAAGAGTCAAACCTGCCAAGCACTGAAGAGTCAAACACTAGCACACAATCATCTTATCCCCGAACTGCGCAAAGTTTGAAGCACATACAAGGCCACCTCCTGTCAGCTTCTAAAACAGCATCGCCAAAAAGGCTGCAAAGCTTAATGCTGCCGCGTTGCTCGATGGCCAATATTTTCTTCACCTCAAGTGCACGCAGCACACACACAGCACAGGACTTGTTCCGCGATGCTGTGCAAAAGCTCCCGTGAAGTCCAAGTCCCTTTTCCCTGGGTCTTGTATAACTTGTGTTTCTGCCCTGCATTCACTCTCCGTTTTCCCGCCTGTTTCACGCCACCTCATGCAAGGAACCCTACCTCCCTTTCTCGAACCCATTCCCACCTTTCAGCAATTTATACTTGTCAAGGATGCAGTTGCACATGTGAGTCATAATCAAAACCTGGTACAAAAATGGTGAACCCAGAACCATGTAAGGAAATGAAAAGGCGGCCGCAACTATTTCCGGCTGGGACTGCCCCTTACTAACCTTCATCTACCCGGGTTTTGATTGTGACTCATGTGGACATGTGAGGGTGCTTGGAGAGCATGAAACTGCACACAGTAAACACGGTGCTGTCCCTGCATCTTTGGGGCCAAGCGGCCTTCCTGGACATGTTGCGGATTTCAACCGGCTTGCCCTGCTTGGTCGCCTGGTTCGATGCACCGCCAACCGAAATTTGCTCCAGTTCACGCAGTGCTTGCTGCCACCTGTGGCCTGATATGGAAGTCCATTGCATAACCAAAAGTTTCACAGAATGTCAGCTGCGGCACCTGCTGTGTTCATTCAAACGAGCAGGTGCTCAGGTTCTCAGGATGAATCATACGTGGACTAAGTTCCTCAGAGTCCTTGGAATATCAAAGCATCCTTCTGGTCCCCCTTTTGGACAACTCGCAACATGGATCAGTACAGGCTTCCAGTTCACACAAGTACTTGTCGGCTAAAAAAAGAGCGGCGCGGTTACACAGGCGGTTCACGTTTGAAAGTGGTATTGTGTTGTGCGTTTAACAGCTGTTTAGCTGAAACATGCACACACACTTCAAACCAACAGCCATCAACACAAGGACACAAGGCTATTTGGCCAGCCCCCTCTCACCAGTATATGTCATCCACAGTCCCACAGTGCCTAACGTTCCCTGGAGTGGAGGACAGGTTCCTTTTGCACCGGGTAGAACCATCTTTCAACATATATGGGTTTCTGACACCATATCCTGCGTTCACTTCACGCCATCCTCGACTCGGCAAAATGCTAGAACGCCTAGAATGGAGGAGCAAACCTCTAAATCACAAACCAACAACAACCGCTACAACCCGAAAGATATCATAGCCAAGAACACTACAGTCTGAACCCATGAATCCCTGACCACAAACCGAAATTCCAATTGTGAATGGTGCTTTGGTCTTGTCAGGTTGGCATGTGGCATGTTTGCTTTCGCTCAGTTTCTATTGTCGCGGGTTTGTCGTCTTATCACTTTGACATGGACGTGGTTTTCGTCTTCATGTTCTAATTCCGAACCCTGATTGCCGCAGCAATGCAACAAATAAAACATCGCTGCCCTTGACATGGTAGATTCATCATGTCAATCCTACTGTGCAGGCTACATCTCTAAACAATGAATGCAATGAATTCAAATTCCCTGCCATTCTCAACACTATCTGGTAGTTTCATGTACAATCTCTAGGTAACTCCCAACACAAGAACCGCAAAACAGCAGTCTCAAAGGCCAGCGCATATGATTCTCGAACTCTAGGATGTGTCTGTCGTTCTTGCTCAAGCAGTTCAGAGCGACACAAATCTGCCAAACAAAACTACACATCGCCCACCGCATCGCGCGAAGCCTCCTGGATCTTTGCCACGAAGGGCCAATACCGGCGGGGTGTGATGGTGGTCACCCGGCCCGCGCGGCCGCCCCGCGCAGTTCGGCCCACTCGGTGCAAGTAATCCGCCATGTTCAGGGGGAAATTGTACATCACCACCTGCAAACTCTCTTGCCAACGTTTAATCACGAACCCCTTCGCCCCCATCAGCACCTCCACCACCACCCCCGCCGCTGCCCCTCCCGCACAACAGGCTACCCACTCCGAACAAATCAGCCTACCACGACATCCCTAGATCCAAATCAGAACTCCTGACAATGTATCAAGCGATTGATGTTGAGGAAACTCAATGATGTTTCCCGTTTTTCCCCTTGCTTACTCCAAGCTGACGGCTGTGAACGTACGCAAGAAGGGTGTTTTGCCCACATGTAAAGATATGTATATTGTATAATATATATATATATATATGTGTGTGTGTGTACATGTGCGCATATGTGTGTTTGTGTGTGTGTAACGGGGGCCCTTGCTACGCAGGTCTGTAGCGGGAAAACATTCTTGCCAGCATCAGTAGCACCATGTTGCACAGAACAACAGAGAGCGGCAGTTGCAGATCACGCCTCCGCAGCTCCAACTTGAAATATGCGACGGACGGCAGACACGGGGTCCACTGGTCCGGGCTGGGGTTGGGTCTGTGACGAGGTATGTGACGGCTATGTAACGAGCTGTGTCATTAACGAGGCATAGCACAGTTGCAGGTGCTCAACGCAAGCCAACCGGCGGCGGAAAAAGGGAGGGTCGCTGCGCGGGCTGGGGTTGGGTCTGTAGCGAGGTATGCAGCAGCTATGCAACGAGGTCTGTGACGAGGAAAAGCAAGGTGCAGTACGCAAAGCCCGCCTCCGCAGCTCCAGCTTGATTGCAGCCGTTCAACGCAAGCCAAGCGGCGGCAAAGAGTGGGGTCGCCGGCCCGGGCCTGTGTGTAGCAGAAACATGTTGTTTTCTTCCGGCCCCTGTTTCGACTTTTCATCTGAATTGCAAGCTCTCTGCACGATGAAATCAAGGAGAGTCTGTGCAAGCATCGGGGTATACGACGAGGGGCATACAACCAGACAAGCGGCTTGTTCATGTGAGGTGTGTGACTGAGGCGCGTGACGAGCCAGCTGGTCTTGTTACAGAGGACTGCAACGGGATCTGTGAAGAATGCCCGCCACGGCTCTGATACAAACCCCTCAAAGGATCACTGCCATATGTATACATGACATTTTTCTTTTGATCTCCTGCGTCCCGCTGTCGGAGCGGCTGGCAGGGGGGCGGCAGACCTTTTACCGCTGGCGGAGAAAAACCCCTTTCGCGCCGCCAGATGCGATGGGGTGTGCTGGCAGTGCCCCGCGGCTTGCGGTTTGCTGCCCCTGTCTTAGCACCCCTGCAAGGGATTGCGGGGGGAAGAGCTTGCTGGCGGCTGCTGCTGTCTGATGACGTCATGCTGTCTTGCCCCTATGCCGGTCACCTCGGGGAGCTTGGGGACTGGCTCTTCGCAGTGGATGCGGGTGGCGGGCATGAGTAGGATGGCGGCAGCTGCCTGGGTGCAACAGCTTCCTTGCCTGCGCGGGCTGGCCTGAGTCGCCCCGAGCTGGGCCCCGCTCCTGAATCCCTGCCGTGCTCCCTGTTACGCTTGTCTGACTTGTGGAGGGAGCAGTGAAGCAGTGGGGGAGGCTGAGCGGCGTGAGGCGGAGGGCATCCCGGCCGTACATCCATCCATCTTTTGATCTCCTGCACCGGCTTGAACTCCGTAGCTATGCACAATTCCAAAGGGGAGTCATGATCTTGGCGGTCTCTTGTTTGCTATCCGCGCTGACGTCTGCTAAGGAAGTATCAGGTGATAAATGTTGAGGAAGTTCAGGATGTGTCCTGGTTGTATGAAGTCCTGATCTCTGCCCTTTAAGCGCAAGCAGCTATGGCTCTCTTTTTTTCTTGCTCTAGCTGATGGCTGTGAGAGCATGCAAGAAGGGCTTTAATCTAAGCGCGCAAGACATATCAATATCACAAACCTTTCGAAACAAACAAGCCCAGTGCCGGAAGCCCTCCAGAACCCTCTTTCAAAATTTCCCCAAGCCACCCCAGAACCTATCTGGGCAAACTCCCCATAGCTTTCAGCTGTTGCGGCAAAAGCATGGTGCTCAGGCTAGAGCTTGGCAAAGACCAAAAGCAAATGTTCCAGGTTGCTTCACAAAGTTGCAGAGCTACAAGCAAAAGCAATGTTCCCCCGATGAGAAACCTACGCGGGAAACAGATCGATTCTCAACCCAACCGTCCGCTACATGCTACTGCAGGGTTGCAAAAAAAGCAAAACACTCCAACATGTTGTAGAACCCATCCTTGAAAACAGCTAGTCAAAATGATCTTCAACTGGCAAAACATGACATGGGGTTGCGAGCATGTCCCACAACGCCGTGCACGTTGCTTCTTCTTGCCATCCAAGGAGCATGGTGGACGTTGCTGAAGTCCAAGCCCCTTGATGCCAGGTTCGTGCAAACCATGACATCAGCGTTTTTGCTAAAGGACTCGTACGCCTGGCGCCAGAATGCGTTGAAAAGATGATCTCGGACCACTTGGTTGGCAATGAACTGAGTTTTCGAACTTTTACATGATTCTTACACTATCCCCAAAATCAAGAAGCGACGGGCAGTCTGGTGAACAAATCGCGCACGGGGTGCAAGCTTCGGTTAAACAAACAAAACATCAGTTTTGGTAGCCAGTAGATCTGTGACTGGCTTCGCTGCTTGAAGTAACCCCCTCAACCCCTTTTCAACATGGAAGTGGTGGACCTTCCGAGATGATGGCCTTCCAAAACCCCATGTAACGAAAAAAGTTGGTGCTCCCGCCTCCTTGCGCTTGTCCGGATGCACGCGGCCATGCAAGGCCACGGCATTGATGCCGTGCTCCAGCAGGCTCTTGTGCACCGCCTGGCGAGTCGACTACCTGAACGCTGAACCCACCGGAAAGCTCTGGGAAACCCCGAACGCAATAGGCAAAAGCAACACAAACACAGGAAAAGCTGAAGAACTGCAGGACGAATCAACTATTCTGCATGGGTTTGCCTTGTTCCAGGAGGCTTGTGGAGCTGACTGAGTCTCAAACCAAGCCTCCATGCGGGGAATCACTTTATTCATCAGCGACCATTGAGCAAACCAAGGTCGCAACTTATACTGAAAATCGCGTGCTCACGTGGTTTACACACAAGGGTTCAACCAACATGAGCAAGTCAATCAGCCATCTGTCCACTGGCCGCGTTGTGCCAATACCATGAACCTCAAAATGAACATGGCTGTAATGTTCAAATTTCCACAGACCAACAATCATCCAAATGGCTTTATCTAAGCCAGAACCCAGCAACTAACAGGGGGTTAACGAATGCTTCACATGCGTAATGCAGCTCTGCCGGCCTTGCAAGTAGGCAAGCGGTTCGTGAAAATCAGGGTCTTCCTGCCAACAGCAGGCACCTGGCAGGAGGACGCGTAGCACAGAAGTCGATTGCCTGCGTGTGGCCATGAGAACTGACCGGCTCAAAGGAGTCGTCAAGCAAAAGGCCACTGTCACTTTCCGTTGGCAGACATGGCGCTAGGCTCAAAACCAATAATACCATTTTGGGGTAGGTGCACCACCCATTTCAATTTATTTTAGTGGGGATTAGGATGTTCAGTGGGGGTACAGGGTTTTGACCCACAGCGACATGGCGCTAGGTCGACAGCTCGCCGGCGCCCGCCTCGCCAAGCACTTCCCACAGCACAGAGATCAGGCGCTTGCCTTTGGTCGGAACAAAGACCTGTCAGGAAAGAGTTAGGTGTAGCACAGGACTGCTTGGTGCGCTACCCCAACTGCCAGCCAAACACATGATGGCACATTGCGTCACTATGCTTCACTCAACTGAATCCCTTTGCTGCTAGCTCCTTCAGAAACCAGGCATCCCTTAGCATCTCGCCATCAGAGACTCGAGAACCCGCCTTTGGCTCCTACTCCTGTCAATTCCAGAATTCCTGTTCCAGCTGTTTGCAGGTTTCGAGCTGCCATTGCCTTGCCTGCTCCAAGTGCGCAGGTGGCACGTGCGCATCCGATGTGACCACCGGCATTACCTACACAGGGATAGGGAGGGGCAATGCGCTGCCGATTTGGGTATGCATTCTAATCGGAGACCCTTTGGTGGACATCATTTACATGTTGGTTGGTGTCCACTCAGCATTGAAAAGGTTCCGTATTCATAGCCAGGCGTCATCATGGGTAAGCACATGGGGATGCGCTGAGCTAACCCCAAGCATGCAAACACGCACACAGCTGCAATGCCAACCGCCTCGGTCTGATTCATGTGTTTCCGCAGGAATTGCGAGACAGCACCAGTGCGAGTGGCGCCGACAATGATGACCTGGTGACAGGTAAGTCTTGGATACGTCCTTTCCCACAAGCCAAGGTGTCCAAATTTGGGGGTACGCCTGATGGATGCGAAACTGCCAACAGGAAACCTGTCCTATCCTGTTGATAGGACTGTCGGATGTTGTCACACGCACATGAAGATTGCTATTTCATGCCCAGCATGCGAAGCAGTCGCAGATTCAGCGAAGCGAAGATGTACATCGTGTCTTGCTGATCAGCTGCGATTGTCAAAAGTGTTGACAATGGATTCCAAGAAAGGAGCACGATGGGTGTGGGTTGTGCTGTAACACGCAAATGACGTCACCAAAATTTGCCTGGCGCGTGTTTTTTTTTTTTTTTTTTTTTTTTTTTATCTCTCTCTCTCTCTCTCTATTTCTCTTTCTCTTTCTCTTCCTCTGTCTCTCTCTCTCTCTGGACAAGAGTCATATTCCTATTTGCAAGGACATAACGAGTCTCCAAAGGCAGATAAACAATTTGCGACAAGGGCAATCAGCTATTCCTCAACCGCCAGCCTAGTTACCACTTTGAGAAGTAATTATGTACCTGATCGTGGAAAACCAGCCTTTCGACGGTATCAACTAGTTGGCCCCCATGTTTTCTTGTAAAAGTGGCCAATCTTCCACAACCATGCTTATGGACACCTAGCGTATCCCCGGGTGTGCGGTCGGCGCCTGCGGTTTCACAGTGCAATCCTCCTGCAAGCCTTTGAGAATCTTGCTTGTGTCCTGGCTTCCCGAGGCCAGGAAACCAGCTTCAAGTGTTCCACAGAAGCCGCAAACTGGACCTCAATCCTCTCCTTGCTTCGCAGCTTCAGTTTTGAGCGCCAGTGATCAATCAATGGAGCCCCAGAACCCCTCGGCTCTCCTTCTCGTAGAAGGTATCGCAAAGCGTGTCCGCCTCATCGATGACAAGATGCCGTACCTGCGCCCACAATCAAACCCTGTGGTTTCATGTCCAGGCCCCGAAGATGTTGCAAGGGAATACAGTACGTACGCTGCTTGTAGCAAAGGCTCCAGGCATTGTTCAGTACTATCTTATTCTTCTCTCATTGTCGTGTGTGAATGCACATGTAACTACTGTTGCTTGTTTTGTGAATAGCCATCAAACAATGTACTGGCTTTTTGCTTCCTCGCGACCGAATTATGTAATCGTATATCACGTTTCGAGCACTGTACCTGGTCTTGGTACAAAAAGTGACACTCGTGCCTTGCTCGTTGCAATCGAGAACATCAGAAGTGATGTAAAGCTTGGTGACAAATTACCTCTGGAACACTGTCGCTAGATGCTGCATAGCCGCGGTGGAATTATTTTGTTAAAAGTGTATTCATGCTATGTCAGTGAGTCACCTATCCTTCTCCGAGTGTTGGCATTTTGCACAAACAATCGCGAGTCACCGATCGTTTCCAAGTTTCGCCATCGCGACAAACTAGCGGGCCTCCTATCGTTTTCCCCCTCAGGTGTGTGTGTGTGTGCACAGTTGGACGAATCTTGTTGCACCATAGGCACTCAAAGGAAGCATAACTTCTCCTTCTGCTCCTTGCGTTCTCCTGCTCCTTCTCCCATCCCGCTGTTCTCCTCCTGATGCTGTTCCCCTCCTGCCGCTGCACTGCGGTTTGGCCTTCTCCTGCTGCTGCTGTGCGGTGCTGATGCTCTGACGCAGCTGCTGCTGATATGCTGCTGTGCTGCTGTTCTACTGTTTTGTTGCTGCCTCTAAACCAGCTTCTACATGAATATACCGGAAACGTGTTTGCCGTCAACCAATGCATGGGTTTTGGGTGTTGACAGCTTCACATCAGATGCCAAATGTGAAGCTTGAAGACCTCTCTGGGCTGCTTCCAGGGGCTTGCCCGCTCCCTGGCAAAAAGCTTTGCGGGCCCCGGCCTCAGGGAGCAGCATGTTCACCTTGCCCAAATGCAGGATCAGCCGGAATGGTGTGCAGACGACAATGTCCACTCCCGCATGCAGTGCTTGTGACTCCTTGCAAGGGAGAAATGGGTTTCACGGCAAAGTTGGCCAAATCCGCTTCGCAAACTCGTAGATCGACAACGAGGTCCTTGATGAAAGAACAGCTGGGAGCACACACTACCGACCTCAGGGGACATCTGGATCGATACACGTAGACTCACGGTCATAGGCATGGGGGAATACAACAAGCTCGCTCTCCTGTTTGGGCGCAAAGTCTCTTCTTTAAAGGCATACAAGTTTAAAATGTCTGGGTTTAGGGTAACTCAAACACGGTGACATCCTCTGCCCCATGCTGAGGGAAACCAGAAAACAGCAAAGGTCTCCTGAAGCAAGGCCCAACCGGGCCATGCATGAAGGTTCATTCCATTCAGTACGTAGCTTATATGTGTTTATACACAGTTGTAACGACACCGAGCTCAGTCCCAATGCGCTTGGGAAGGTCTGGATCAAGGTGATTACCATCCCTCCCACTAACATGGCACCTGACAGGGAATCCCTTGGACCAAAACATGATCTTCTTGGTACACTCCTGGCTCGCTCGGAAGGAGGGCTAGTTCCGTGGAACTTCTCCCTTTCTCCCCGCCTGACGGGGAAGTTCCGGACCACCTTGATGGTCTGCAGCGCCAGCTCGCGGGTTGGCTGCACGATGATGGCGCGGGGCTTCCGGCTCTTGGGATAGAAGCCTACCGGCGATGAGGCCCTGGAAGAGCCACTCGTTCAGTCAACCACGAGTCAACATATTGTCAAAACTCGGAAAACCACGCAGGAATCGTGCAAAATCATCTTTCCGGGCTGGTTGGTCAGGATCCAAAGCCCCGACGGGCTATGGATCATGGCAGTATACGATGACTCTAAATCAGTTGATTGTGCAGCACTGGTGTGGCAAAAGATGTTGAGCATGTCTCTGATCTGAACTTCGGAATCCGGACCCTAGTCGATATCATTCCTCATCACTGATCACCCCGCGGTCCTTTTGATTCATCCCCTTCGAGCAACGCGGCCCTTCTGATTCCGAAGTTAAGCACACCCTTTGGCTTCCCAATAAAACCAGCCCCAAAAACATGGCCTCCACAAGACACACCCATGTCTGCACAAACTGTTGTGGCAACAAACTTCTAATCACATGCCAAAGCTTACTTCGGCTAGGAACATAATTCGGGATTGCCAATCTTGGAGCTCACGTTCGAGCCTGCCATGGGTTCTGAGGACTCATTACCCTCTCTTCCGATCGAGTACCGCGTGCCCATAGGTCAGAACCCAAAACAAAAACCATCTGATTGCAGTTTCTACTGAACGCCCCCTATCAATAAACCCCTGTTTATTAATATGGGGGTGTCCCTGGTTTTAGTGGGGATTGTTCACTTTTGGAGGGGAACACCCCCCTATTAATAAACTGGGGTTGATTAATAGGGGGTCAACATCATGGGCTTCGCGTTGCAACTTGTCAGGTCTGGAGCTTCAGCCAGTGACCCATAGCCATAGTCTTGCGCGGCCTTCGGTGTTGGTGGACAGCAGCTTGTGCACAATGGGCAGCACATAGGCCAACGTCTTGCCCGTGCCCGTTTGTGCCAGGACGAAGGCGGAGATACCTTCCTGACGCTGCAGCTGAGTTGATCTGAGCCGCCGACTATGTTACTTGCCTGGCGCAATGCCAAAATTGGGTTGATCTCGCTTTGGACGCGCTTCAACTATTTTTCCAGTAAAACCGTCATCAATTTGAGGGGGGCCTCATCTCGTTTTGCGGAGGATCAACGCAACAACAATCGTAGGACAACGTGTCGCCTCCAGCTACTTTACTCTCTCGCATCGTTCCTTCAATCATCTGAGAAGGACTAACATGAAGAACTCGACTCCTTTTGGACTCCAAGCCACTGGGGGTAAATTGCAAGACTGGTCTGTCACAGCCCTCACAACTATGATTAATCTCGTTTCATCTCGTTTTTCTCGCTTCGATCTGGTTAGCACGCGGGGCATCTTATTTCACAGCAAAATCTCTGTTGTATTCTGACTGTATCAACCCGACGTACCCTGAGATCTGCCCAAAGGGGTGAACCAACGGCACATCGTGGAAAGAACAATGTTGTCCTAGGGGTTCTGTCCAGTACCTACCTAGGCGCATCTTGGAACCTCAAAAGTCCAAATTTGCTGCGCTGTGTAGCACGGGCTCACAAAAGGGTCGAGACGTCAGGCTCAACAAACATCAACAACAGTAGCTTTGCGCGTGTGCCTTTGCTGGAGGGGGATGGGTTTTGAGACCATCTCTGCCGATCCTTGTCAGCTGCCTTGTCTGCCAAATCCAACCTCTGATACGTAATGCCAAGTCTCCAAAAGCATCGGCATTGTCATGTCTTGGACTCTCGTCGGCACCTGGGAGCTTTGCGTTGGTGCAGTTTACTGCAACAAGCAGGCTTGGAACTCTAACTGGGAAAAGGAAGCTGGGCAGCTGCGATCAACAGAAGCTTGCAGCAACGTCCTCCGGATCTCCCGCTGAGGCGACTACAGACACGCCCATTTTCATCAGGCCAAGCCTTAGCTTCGAGATGCAGGGGTTGCTGGACGCGTCAACGCATCACAGTGGAGTTCAGGAAAGAAGCAACAGCGAAAAACATCACAACCATTCTTTCTTTGAAAGCAGGAACACGGATTAGCGGCCCAATCCGCGTCACCAGGCATCTTCGTTAGCTCTCGTAAGCCCCTGCAACAAAGGGCTGGCTCAAAGAAACAAACCAAACCAAAGCGAAGCAAACTACCACCGCGAACCATAGGTTTGCGCCGAAGCTTTCTCCCATCGCCGCAGTCTTCCTCTAGTCTCGCGCGGCCGCCGCGCCCCGGCTCCGTCGTCTTCGCGCAGTCTTTCTCCATTCTCGCACGTGTTCGCCCAACGCAAACACTCAGACCCGATCTCTGTCTGACTGGCTCTGTTGCTCCGCCCGCCTGTTGAATCACGTCAATTGTGGAATCCGTTGAAAAGTCTTCGCGTGGAGTTTCCCTTTCGGGTGTCTCATGGCCAGTTGCTTTCATTCCCAAGTGGCATCTGTATCTGGCTTTGGCATGTGTCATCTGACTTACGCTCTCGTGGGCTCTGGCGCATCTGTATCTGACTGGCCCTGGCATCTGGAATCCGCCACCTGTATCTTTCCTGGAGCCACTGGCTTTCCGGCGAACTTTCGAACGAAAACTGAACAACCCCCATCTGACGAGTGGGGAAAAAGGGACTTGATGCTGTCGGCTTTCCAACAACCACTTTCGCCGGACACGTCGCGGTCTTTCGTGCCCCGCATTTTCGCTTTCGTCAGGCCTTGCTAGAGGCCCTCGATCACAGATCTGCGTCTGGAATCAGACACGGAGCTCAGGACTCTATTGCCAGAAAGGAGAAGGAAATGGAATGAAACAAAAAAAACTATACACCATCCCTTGTTTCCTTTAAGGGGACCCCCAAATTCATTCCATGCGATAGGTGGGGTTTTAGGCGCTGTGACCCAAGCTCAGCGCCAAGCTGGACCTGCCGATGCAAGGGGAACTTCCGGAAGGACTGCCGCAGCTCAAAGCTCGAGGTCTCCATCGGCAAGCCACCGGTGAAGGAAGTCACCGCTTTGCTGCTGGCAAAGAAGGAGCTCGGACGGGTTTGGCAGTCGGGAGTTGAGGGGCAGTTCCGTCAACGGCACACCCATCAGTTCTGTAAAATGATGATACACATAGTTTGTCTTTCGTGAATTGGCCTCACAATCTTTGCCCATCTTGCTGTAAATCTGGGCACAGCCCAACCCCCTACCACCCGCAGCCCCAGAAAATCCAGACAGGGCCTGCTGGCTCCAGGGCCCAATGGGCCGCTCGGGTCCAACTCCCGAGTCTCGGCATCGGCCTCGTGCTCTTTGCAGAAAGGCCGCCCTCAGCGAAGCGGAGAACTTGCCACAGGAAATGCCGAGTTTTGGGATACCTCGAGAGATGTCAAATTCTGCAGGGGTGGCAATCTGAGTGAGATGCAGGGAGTTACTTTGGAACTGTTCATGAGATGAAATCCCTTTGCTCAGCTGACAATGATCTGAAGAAATTCCTGGCTATCTGCAACAGAGTCCAGCTTTGAGGCTGTAATGAGCACTTGCTCGGTGAATGCAAACCAAATCCTTCCCACCAACAACTTTTTTCTGATATGCTGTACAACCCCATTCCAGGCGGCAAACATGTGAACAACAACTTCCACAAGCAAATTGGCATGAGATCATACTTGTTGGGGAAAGGCCACTGCAACAAACTGTGCAAATAAATTGCTCGGCACTAATTTGCTAGCAAAGCAGACGCCTAACAACTGGCCCAACCCAATCTATGTATAGCAGGTGTCAAGCGAGTCGACAAGGGACCAGAAGCACACCAAACTCGACGAATGCAGGTTTAGCTGAAGCCAAGCTAACGCGATCAATCGAACCACCATCAAACCAAACATTGACACAAAGCAGCGAATCTCTTCAGGCAACTGCAAGAGACATCGCCGGTCTAGCAACGTTTCCCTGCCTCCAAACCCAACGAAACGAAACTCTAGTGGATCAGGCTCGCCAGCGAAAAGACACGCTGGCATTGCGTGTCAACGGTCAAAGCTTTCCCTTTTTTTCGGTGGGAGAGTGTTCTTTCTCTGGGGCCATAAGTTATGGAGTTCTTAAGAGGGGGGGGTGTAAGGGGGGGGGGTAATTTGAAAGCCCCAAGGCTCCATAGCACTTCCTAGAGCTCCTTAGCAAACCCGAGCGCTCCCTCCCCAAGGACCCCTAAAGGCCCCTAAAAGATTCTTAGCCTCCCTTAAGCTCCCCAGCCTTCCAAGATTTAAAGTCGTTGGCACCAGGGCTTTTCGGAACCCCTCAAAGTGAGCTCCCCAAAGTGAGCCCCAAGTACGGGGTTTACCGGGGTTTTTCGGAACCCCTCAAAACCCTATTCCCTAAGCTTCCCTAAGGCTCCCGCTTCCCTAGGCTTCCCTAAGCTTCCCTAAGCTTCCCTAAGGCTCCTAGCGCTCCCGGGCTTACTAGTCCTAGCAAGCGGGCCAAGAAAAACTAATCAGCTCGCAAAGGACCGAGTGTTTTGCGAAGAGCTTAGTGGGCGGGCAAGCGGCTAAGCAGGATGAGGGCTGAGCCGGATTCAACAATTGAACCCTAGGCCTCCGTAGGGCTCCCTAGTCCACGCCCATTTACTAAAATTTACCCCCCCCCCCCCCCTTACACCCCCCCCTCTTAAGCACTCCATAAATAAGGCCACGGTGGTAAGACCATCCAAAGCAATTCTTGCTGGGCCTTGCAAACGTGCTGGCAATTCAGCTTCCCTCTAATTGGTGGTGTGGCTCGGTGGTTTGGTGGCTAAGGAGGGGTTTCCCATCTACCCTCAAACCACCAATTCGAGCAATGGCTGCAACTTCCAACAAAACAAGGGTGTAACAATCGCCTTGGGCGATACGTCTCAATGGCAGCTTAGAGATATGAGCCTTCAAGAGTCTAGAACCGCTACATGCGGGTACTTTCCCGCGCTTCTATTGAAGCAGCCGAAGGAACCATCTGATGGTTGAAGCTCAATCCATTGATCTGGCTTTCGCCAAGCCTTGGATATCCAAAACATTGTGTTCCCATTCAGAGTGAAGGGCTGGCCTGATGCGGACGCACCTCGCCTCGGAGACGCCGCCCAAGGCAAAGGCCCAGGGGTCGCCGGAGGAGAGACATGGCCGAGGATATGTGAAGCTCCGGCCAAGGAGTTTGGTCATTTACTATTTTTGGAGCTTGAAACAAACGAAGTCGTTTTGGATCTGTTTGGCTGCTTGACACTGCTTGAGGTTGCCCCACTTGTTTCAAAAGCGTTCATGGCTTTCTCCCAGCCAATTGGGACTGCTTGAATCATGCGTGTTTCATTGGTTTGTTTGCCTCAGTCTGTTGGGTCAGGTGTGTCAGTCCAATCGCAGTTCGCCTGATGGACTGCCAAAACCGGCCGAGCTTTGGATAGAATTTGACAAGCCAAGGAGGGTGAGGGTGGGTTGAAGGATGTCCCCGACATGGCTTGCTTCTGTTTGCCCACCGGCTCTTGCTGTGCGGGATATGTCTCCCCTTGTTACATTGGAGGAAAGCTGCATCACACACACACACACATGGCCGTCACATTCATGTCTCTCTTACTCCTCAGCAGCACAGCCCTGGGACAAGTTGGGCTGATCCCTTGTTGATGTTTAAGCCACCCTTGCCTTCCATGAACGGATTCAACACATGTCGTGGAGAGCCCCCATACTTCTTTCCCCCCTAACATATTGCCCAACCCTCCAGCCCTCCACCCATCCGTTCCTATGGCAATTTGCAGCCATGCGGCTTTTTTCAACGAGTCTCGGCTGCCCTAACTTGCCAACTCATGCACACTTGGCACAGGCCTCGAGCTCGGGTCGCATGCGGTTCGCATCCATCATTGAGAAGTCAATTGATTCACAAAAGCGGTTGAGAACATGACGGGTCCCTTCCGGCGCAAAAAACATATTCCCGTTGTGCAGGAGCCAGCAAGTGCTACCTCGCTCTGGAGTGGCCTCAAAGCTGAATGACACACTTAGGCACAGGTGATAACCAAAACGCTCTGCTTCATCCGGCCCGGCATGGCCCGGGCATTGCAGCCGGATTAGCTGCCTATCCTCATCTCTGCCGACTAAGCTCCGTTCACCGTCTCCGCGCATCCACTGCACAATGCTGGAGCTCCGAATTTACTGATCCCTTGCATCACCTGCCAGCAGGATGCAATACATGCAAGTACCCAGCTTGGTGCAAATGTTCGTGCTGTGTCATGTTACAAACATGATAGTTCGTCGACCAAGGGAACGCAGCATGTCAAGCTTGAATTGCTGATGTGTTGAATCAAAGGCACAGGCTGCGCAATCACTTCCATTGACATTGTGAAACGAGCGCCAACAGTGGGGTCACTCAGCACGTGGGGCCTTCATAGGCCCCGCGCCTAACAAAAACAACTGGGCGCCTGCCATACTTCTGGAACTCCCACTCTCCGTTGTCCAGTGGACACACCTGAGCAGTTCTCGGCACTTGTAGATCCCAATGCTTGGTGGGTACGCCTTGAATGCTGGGCATTGATTCCATTTGATTCCATTGTTCAATTCAAACGCAGCACCGTGGGGTTCCCCAGAAAACCCCTCAAATATGACTCCTCATGGAACTTCCAAGTTCATTGTGCTTGGCAGGCCTGGCGTGTCTTCAGCCATCGCGAGATGCAGTGGAAGTGGAACCTGCAGTCAAGAGGGCGTGGGGCATGCACCACGTCAAACGGAAAGTCGCCCAGCAACCACGGAACTACGGAATTGCGGGGGGCTGAGGCCGCGGCGCATGGTTGCAAACCCCCCAAGCGACTGTGCACTCCTGGACTCGGCTTCAGGTTCAGACAGCAAATTCCAAGCGATCTGCTCCCCAAATCCTCGAAAAGGATCCCGGCGTATGGAGAAATCACGCTTTCTGCAAATACAAAAGCAAAGCAAAAATGGCTCTGTGGTGGAACACCACAAGTTCCATAGTTGATCTTTTGATCATGGCATAACGTACAAAGCAACATAATGCGTGAGCTGGACATCAGTCTTGCGTGAGGAAAGCGACAGGAATCAAACAATCGTGACGTTGGCGTTGCCCCAACCAATGCTTGCCTTTCTCCCCTGACCATCTCCTCGGAAACACGCCGGGTCGCATCCACCGTAAGCATTGTCAATCTCCCATGAATCATGAAGCAAGAGCTGGGCTTGCCAGCTGGAAAAGAAAGTGAAGGCACTTGCTACATCCCGCAAAACATACTTTCCACAAGCTGCAAACCGCGTCCTCGCTTGTATGCGAGCCCTGATTTGCCTGCAACAATCAAGCAGTTGCACTGCAACAACTCATTGTCCAATCAGCAAATCAGGTGCGATCATCTCGAGCCTGGCACTCAATGCAAAGGTCCATGATGTGATTACCTGATGTCGTCATGTGGTGTCAATGCTGGCTTGAGCAGCGGCATCCAAAGCAACTATATTCAAAGCAGACACCTAATTCTGTCCAAGCTGCGGCAAATGGCACAATTGTCCACTACAATGTCCCATGCCCACAATGCCACCTGCGCAGGGGGTATCAACAGCATGCAATCTGTTCGAATTGTAAGCCGTGCGCCCGCCTTCCTTGCTACATCAGGAACTCGCACGTGTGCAACATGTCGTCATGTTATTGGTTTTACACCCATGCCAACTCCTACTCCTGACAAACAACTTTTCAGATGTCATGCATAGCAGCATAAGTTCTAAGCGCCCGTGGGAACGTGCTGTCCCCTTCAGTCTTTTCTCATGATGAACGCGTTGCGGCCGGCAGCCGCGAGATATTAGCTTGCCACGGTGCTTGTGGCATGGGCCCTTCGAAGCAACTCCGACCGAATGAAACTCATAGTTAGGTCCACGCTATTCTCTCTATCTGTTGCACAACAATACGCATGCTAGCGACTTCAACCGATCGACTTCCAAAGGCTGTCCGTTAGCAGGCGCCCTCAGGCGCTGGGCCGCTGGCCCTGTCTCCGACCTGTCCAGAATGGTCTCAAGCAAAGAATCCATCTGCATGCGCGCATGCTGGAACAACAATTAATTGCGGTCCTTGCCAAAGTCTGCGAAAAGACGTGCTTTGAAACTGCCACACACTGCACAGTGCCAAGCATTGACTCAAAGCCGGGCATCAAGAGCAACAAAACCATTTTTTACTTTTTGAGTTGGGTGAGGACATGAGATCACTAAACGTGGCGCTTTGACTCGTGCAACATGCCTCGTGCAGCAGGCCCTCCGAAAAATCCGCATCTCGCAGGACCTGCATCCGTGACTCGCAGAACATGCGCCTGAGGGCTCTATGATCTCATCTCTTGGGCGCGAATTGAAAGATTCCACGTCCTTTTGCATCTCACCTTGTTGAACAAAGACATGCATGAGAACAGCACCGTTTGATATTAGCACAGCCCGCGCCTTGGGCAGGCAAGAATTGGCTCGGAAGGCTCACCTGGCAGCAAGCAACTGATTCGCGTGTCTCGCCGACGTTTCCCCAGCCGGTTAACGTGTGGCCCTCTTTGGCGGGATCAGAGCAGGATCTGGTGAGGTGCCACTTGGGTAAAGTAAGCTCGAGTTGAATGCATGAAGCCGAAGAGGTAAGGGAAGAACAAGGATCAGCCCAAACATCAGTATGTTGCCCTGTATCGGAGAAGGTTGGACAAATGATTGATTCTGAGCCAATACCAACATCAATTCCCAAAGGACATGATATTTCAACCAAGCTACAGTTTTGAGCCGGACGTGTGGTGACTTGGGTCTGGCTTCTTTATCCTGGGTAGGTGTTTGCTCACGGCCAGCCGCACGCAGTACTCAGCATGTGCAAGCACGTTGTTGACCGCGTTTGCACCTCTTCTTCCCGTCAATGGGGTTGTAGGCCATGAACGTGGCAATGGACTTCAACAGCTCCTGCAATGATTCGTTGACATCTGCGGTTCCACATCAAGTCATACAGTCCCCACGACCGGCATCGAGACTGAACTCTGCTGCGCAACGCCGCTACTCATCATAACATGTCACATCGTGGAAATAAACCTGGAAAGGCGTCAAACTGTCAAACCAGGTGACACAAACAATTGTGCCTTCCTCTTAGTTTTTCTGTAAGCCAAGGTACAAAAAACACGTACCCTAAGAGAAACACATAGCTGCCTGTCCTGGTCACCAATGGCTTGGGCACGCGAGTTGATGTGCAGCACATCTTGCATACTGCCAAGCCTGCGCATTGTCAGTGCTTGCAACAAACACGGCACTCACCAGTGTTGCGAGCTTTCACTTCGTACTTCACCATGTGCCCAGCTTCTAAGGCGGCAAAAGGCTAGCAAAATGATTCCTAAAATTACAAATGCCGAAACAATCAGTACGCCAATAAGCCGAACTGTTGAAAGACATCTTGCTTCCAGCTGAGTCATCAAATCCCCACCTCTGAGCCATCTGGAAAGCGCTATGCAAGTTCCCGATGAGGATCAAGGCATCCATCTTGCACCTCTGCAAAACAACCGTTGCACGAGAATGTGTCACATCTTTGAACCCTGACTCCTCCCACTGCATGTGAGTAGAACTATGCAGGCATCGACATTGTTGAAGGCTTCGGGCTGTCACAAAGCATTTCACGACAACTGTCCCTTGTATAGCCGCACCCGTACCCCCGACGCGCCTCTCGTCCTGAATGAAGGGCACCAGTTGGGAGGCCGCGGAGAGATCGGCGTTCATGTCTTCCTGAAGCCGGGGAACATGACTTTCCACTTGCTGTTGGTCAAACACTGCAAGGACCAGGTCTTGCTGAAAGGTTGCCTCTTGCTTCCCCTGGTGTCACAAAAATGTGTTGATGAAATACTCTTGCAGGCAGCTCTGCACTTGCTCCTTCTCGATGATCCAAATGTTCACCACGTTGGACACCAAGCTGTCCTCGATGAAAGCCAACGAAGCGCAATCTGCAATCATACTTGTCATGTGCACCTTTGGTGCTTTGTTTGGGTTCAACCTCGCAGAAACCTAAGAATCTGAGCAACCCCTCTTCTCTCAAACAGCGCTTGTCCCATCGGCTAGAGGTCATAGATCTATTATTCAGTCACCTGCATGGAACATTATGCAGTGCACGCTAAGCTTGATGTGAGCAGCAAAGGCTTCAAGGCGCGGACCCACTCCACTGGCGGCAACTTGGGAATAGCCTGGCAGGGCAATGACTCGACACAACCAAAGCACCTTGTGGGGGTCTCCGGTTTCCCGAATACGAAGCAGCTGCTTGCGCTGGCTGCTTGCGAGCTGCCTTGAACATTTCTGGAATGCAACATGCTGTCTCCAGGGCGCAATCGGGAATGGAAAGCCTCAGCACGGGTGACTTTGCTTGACACCCTTGAACTTGAGGTAGTATCCGTGTAAAGCCAGGATGGCACTCTCAGTGAACAAGGCCACCAGAGGAAATGTGTCGAACGGTCTGGCCAACAGGAGACATACCACACAATGGAAGCATGATTAGTCAAGTGGTGGGATGTCAAAAACAAGGGCCCTTCCCAATGATTGGTCTTCTCTTTGAACATGTTCAACTTTCCTTGTTCTGGGGATGGTCGTCGCAACAATTTCTCAATGCCAAGGATTGAAGCAATGGCTGCATCAGCTTCTCTGCATATTGTTTATGCTATCGCCGACTCCACTCGGTTCCCCAACGCATACACCCATTGAGTCAACAAATTGCCGCATGCTTCCGTTGATATCTGCTGATGTACTGTCCTCTATTTGCCGTGACTTTCAACATGTGTATGGAATCCAGTGCACCAGCATACACCTTGTAATTTGAGCTGGAATCTCGCGATCACCTAGCATTAGCAGCTGCTGCTGCGTACCTTTGCATTCCCCCAGTGGCAGCAGAAGGCATCAAGCTCATGCCGTGCAAAGCCAATGCATTCCGCTGGGAATGCAATCAATTGGGACCATTGCTTGGTTAGATTGCATGGATACACACGCATGGGCACACACGCAAGTCCAAGCAAGTGGATATTAGCAACTCGTTGTGTACCTTCAAATGTGTCAAATCAAAAAAACTATCTGGTATAAGAGTGCATGTGTTCAATTCCCGATATCAGGGATCTGCAAGGAAGAGTCAGGTTTCCTAATTTTGCCTGATGAACCAATCAATTAAAGCTTGCAACTGCCATGATGAAAGCAGCTGGGATGACAAATTGACAAAGCTGCTCATAAGCTCGCTCCCATGTCTATGTGCGGTACCCGGCCTGGAGGAATTTGACAACCTCAGCAAGGGCAAACTTTAAGTGACACCATAATATGTTGATGAATTTGACACAGACAGATTGTCCCACCAAGTGACGAGTAGATCCAACATCATTGGTATTGATAGCTTGCGACAAACATGGAAATGCACACTGCGATTAGCAAATTTGAGAATAGGAGTGTTGCGGCAAAGTGAGCGGGCCCAAAACACTCGCTTGCCAGGACTTCATCTCTGACTGGTTGACTAGAATACAAAACTGACAGATTGTGGGCTACAATCTAAGTATTGCAGTTAATTCTGCGTGTGCCGTTTGCTACAGTTGCAAATTCTAGCCATGTTATAACACATTATCTGACTCTGCCAAGCAGCTGGGGCGATGGATCCAGTGGGACAGCGTGCTTCTTGCGTAGCGATCTGATTGGACCTGGGCTGGGCAACACGAGCAACTTCTATCAAATGTGTTACTCTGCGATGTAAAAGAGCAGTGCTAAAGATCTCGATCAATAGCTTTGAAGACTCCCTAGGTTTGCCAAAGCGCAGGTGCCGTCCACAAACAGGGCCCGCACGCTCGGATGCAAAGCTCCACAGCCGGCAAGTCCAAGAATTCGATCACCTGCAAAGCCACTCGCTTGCCCTTGGCTTACGTCCGCTCCATGCAAACACGGTTTGCCGTCGACAAGGTCAACATCCATGCCTTCTGTGCCAGCTTGAAGTGCCCGTTCACCATCAGCAGCTCTGCAACCTGGCAGTCCGCAATCTCTTGAGCCACCGGTCAATGTCCAGTGTCTTGTGCAAGGGACTCCTTCAGGAAAGCTTTGGAGGTGCTCGGCTTGTGTGGTGCAGCCTTGCACTCAGTCGGCATTGAGCAGTGGGATGTCCAGTCATCTCAGTGGATCAAACAAAATACGCCGGATTTGCCCCATGGAAAGCGCGGCAACGGAATGTTTCAAGACCATCCATCAGTGCAATTATTTGCTGATAATAGCACTCTGCCTCTCATGTGTCCTGGGGTCAAAATCCCGTACCCGCAGTGAACATCCCAATCCCCACTAAAACAGACTGAAATGGGTGGTGCACCAACCCCAAAATGGTACCAATGGTTTTGACCTACTGCGGTCTGGGGGTATCTATGCGGATATTTTGGACTCACCTCTCATGCCCAAAAGGCCAAAAGGCCACCGGCCTCACACTGGGCCGGCAGGTCTCCGAAGAGCACGGCATTGTGAGGCATTTGCGTGGGCATGGCCTGGCCCGTCCAACGGTGACACCTTCGGTTAAACCGTATTTTGGTTCTGCAGTGTTTGGATTGTTATGAAAGGCGGTGCTTATTTAATGAATGGTTCAAAACAAACCGGCCTTGGCAACCTGATATGCAGCTACCTTCTGCACGACCCTGGTTGCCGCATACGGAATCGAGTAGTTTTTTTCTGCACCA